GCCTCTGCTTCCGATCACCATCCCCCCAATATACACACACTCAGTGCCATGCAAATAAGGTCCTTCGATGGGCAATCATATTTCTGAAAGCTTTCCCTTTTAAGTTTGTTGTTCTCTTACAAAGACCCCTTCAGTGCATTCTTCTACAACTACTGAATGCCTTTTGCTTCCATCTCTAGACCCCTGAGACCTTTGTTTTCCAGTATTCTGCAACCTGATTCTCTATCACAGCTCAGGGAAGGTAAGGGGGCACTAAAGACCCAACCCCTAAGACCCCAAGACTTGGCTTAGCTGCCATGGAATTCTCGTTATATGTTTTTCAGTGAACCTAGTTTAGCGTGTTACAAAGAAGCTGGTGGTGATGATGACAGATTCATAAACAATTTTTTATTCTTTACACTTTTTTCCTTCCTGAGCCACAAACAAGTATTGCCACAGAAAGTAGTTTTACAAATGAGACAGTAAAGCTGATCATATAATATGCTGAGCTCCTGATATAAAGAGGAAACCCAGTTAATAGTGTTGTGTCTGCTTTCAGGAACAGAAAGTCCCAGGTCATTCTTGGAGCTCACTCAATGACCAAGAGAGAGTCAGAAAAACAGATAATGTATGTTAAGAAAGAGTTTCCTTATCCGTGCTTTGACCAGGACACGCATGAGGGGGATCTGAAACTTTTACAGGTATGTACCTTTGATTGACTTCAGAGTCACAGAACCTCCTCCGATCTGGCCGCCTACATGGAAATTTTTTCCTCGGTGCTCTGTGGCCATAGACAATAGCTACATAATGGGGTCCTTGAAGGTTGGGCTAGAATTTAAGTAAAAATAGGACCATTTAAATGATCTTATTTTGTTAAGTCTTCATGCTTGTCTTCTAACAGCTGAACAAAAAAGCAAAAATTAATAAAAAAGTGAGTATCCTCCCTCTCCCTAAGAAGGGGGATGATGTCAAACCGGAAACCATGTGTCAAGTTGCAGGCTGGGGGAGCATTCACAATAACTCACCTCAGTCTGATACCCTGAGAGAAGTCAATATCACTGTCATAAACCGAAGAATCTGCAATGATGAAAAGCACTATAATTATAATCCTGTGATTGGACTGAATATGATCTGTGCCGGCAGCCTTAAAGGTGGAAAGGACTCGTGCAATGTAAGTAAAATAAGATCCCACGTTTTAGCTGTTGAAGTCATGCAGATAGAGAATATGTAACATCAGGCTTTGTCTTGTCATGGCCTTGGCTTCTGCAGGGTCCTGGTGCCTTTTTTTTTACAGAAGTTTGATAAAATCCCAAATAAATTCATGTTCTCAGCTCACGTAAGTCGTTCATCAGAAACCTGTTCTCATTTTTCGTACAAACACATACAGATCTCAATTTGAAAATATGTAACATCCAGGAGAGCTGAAGTCAGGGCTCCTCTAGGGTCTTCAATGCCCTTTCCCCCACCTCAGTACTCCCCGCAAAATTCACTGCCATTCGACCGAGCAAGTCTGAAATGCCTGTCCTTTCCAAGCCTAAGGATCTCTGGCTAGACTCTGCAGCTTCCTAGAGCCAAGCTCAGTCCCCAGGAAGCAGCTTCCAAATGTGACCCATACAGAGACTATGCAAGCCTCCATCCCAGAGTCCCCTGAGAGGCAGTGGGACATGGCCCTGCTTAAAGATACAAGTAGCAGAGACTCCTTAGAAAGTTTTAAGCTCTGAGTTTATCATTTCTCACTTTTCCCAAAGACCCTGTAGAGCCTCCCCTGAAGAGAAGGAGTTGCAGTGTAGGTGGTCTGGGAGTTTGAATCAGAGACTGAGAGATCCAGGGGTCTCTGTTCTTCCCAGAAGCTTGTCTAAACATCTGCAGAATCTGAATGGCTGGATTTCAGAACCAAGGCTAGGCACATCCCAGGAAGAGATGACATTGGTCCTCTGCACCTTTCCACTTTCTCTCCTTTGCCCTCCCTCCTCCCCTCCCCTCATCCACCATCCTGGCAATCCAGGAACCCAGAACCTTCGCGCCCTTGGAACCACATGCAACATCCTAAGGCCACAGCAGCGTCCCCAGTGTGCCTGTCCTCCTCTCCACAGCCACCCTCCAGGGCCGAAGCTTAGCAGTTCTTCTGCCATCCTTTTAGTGCCCAAGACCCCTTAGAATTGGCCGTGGGTGAATTAAACCTGAAGGACTCCCTGTGAAAATTTCAGACCCTCTGTGAAATATACCTGTCCAGAAGGGGTCCCAGGCTCCCACATACTTCCTCAGTTTATATACTCATAAGGCCAATTTTTGCCTGAAAAAGAGGGACCACTGATGCCTTCATGTGGCTGGGAAGGAGTTGGGCACTCAGAGTCCAGCGTTTGCAGAGTTTTATGCACATGCCTCAGTGGCCCTCTGTCTAGCACCACCGATATTCCCTAAAGCCAGAGCAGTGAAATGACCACTTCAGACTCTAGACCTCAAATACATTTAAATACGCTGATTCTAGAGTTCTTTGAGAAAATCCAGGCTCACAGAGTGGTGGCACAGGCAGGGGTGAAGCAGTGACCTCCAGCTAACTGAAGCCTCTCTGTTGGCGGAGTCAGCTAGCCCTGAAGTGAGATCACTGGTTTCTGGAAGCTCCCGTCCAGTGTCAGATGCTCCAAAGAGACTTGGGGAAGCAATTTCTGTCTATTTGATAGATGAAGGGGAAAGTTGCTTTGGTTTTGTTTCTTTAGGAAAACAGTTACATGCTAGAGAACCTAGAAGACGTGGTGCTTCCTCTTTGCCTCAACATCCCATCTGCATTGCACTATTTTACCCCTTGAGTTATTAAGCATTTTAAGAAAACGACAAACAGGAGGGTTTCCCTTCTAAAGCAGAATCAGTCTCAAAATTAGTGGGTAACATGAGCAACAATACAAGTTTTATTTCATGTTCACTGGTTTACAAATAAATTGAGTGAGCCAATTTAAAAATATTAAAACATTTCCAAACATTTGGGACTTTTAAGCACTAATTTTCATTTAAGTCAAGATTGGTTTTAACTCCACATTGAATGTTCCGCATTCAACAGAATTTTTCCCATCCCACTAGTGATCATGTTCCATGCTGATCCCCATTCCCTCTCTTGTTCTGCAGGGAGATTCTGGAAGCCCTTTGATATGTGAGGGTACGTTTAGAGGTATTACTGCCTTTGGCCTTCCAGGAAAATGCGGAGACCCTCGAGGACCTGGCATCTATACTCTTCTCTCGCAGAAGCATCTCAACTGGATAATTAAGACTATGAAGGGGTTAGTTTAGCTAATTGTACTTCATTTCATTTGCTGTCACTTCTTTTTTCATTGTTTGTTTCAAATTTTTATTTGAATTCCAGATAGTTAACATATAGTGTAGTATTGGCTTCGGGAGTAGAATTTTGTGATTCATCACTACGGGATGGGCACTTACTGTGACTTTTTAATCTTATCATAAATAAAATCAATTTGTGTAACTGTACCCATTTCTCCTATACCTTTAGTGAGCAGATCTGCACTGGCAAAGTGAAGCAGAGTAATATGACAACCTGACAGATATTGCAAGGGAGAGATGAGGGAACCAACGTCACCAGTGTCATCCATGTGTCAAGTGGCACACATACTTTCCTTGAATGATTCACTGTCCAAATGGGGCCCAGCAGGAGTGACAATAAGGTCAGGTCTGTCTAGTGACAGGCTCAGCAATTCTGCAGGGAACAGGAACAGACAGTCTGGAGCATTTGGGTTAAAAGGAAATGCGTTTGCCCTTCTAAGGCCATTGTTCCACATCAACACATGCTATCTATCTATTTCTCTGTCTCTCTCTATATATATCTAGCTCAAGAACCTGAGTCTAAGAAAGAAATAGAAATGTCTTACAGTGTTTTCCAAAGGCAGGTGAGAAATAGAAATTAAAATTCTAGGGGACAGAAAGAAAAGTCCCCTAGAATTGGCCAGAGAAGAAAAGTATACAACAGAGAGTCAGCCTCCTCTCTCATTAGTTTGCATATAAGCCTTTGATTATCTAGGTGATTTCTTGGTTCTCCTCATCTCTGAGCCTGGGTGGGTCCAGCCAACACAATGGTTACAGGGGCTGCCATCACATACTGGGGAGTAAGTGCTCAAAGTTTTCCTTGAAAACCCCCTATGTTGTTATTCAGCACATTGAACTCATTGGGTAGTCATCAGTCCAGCAGCCACTTCAAAATGGGATTATGTGAATGGATTCCTTCAATTTCCATCTGTTCCTTTAGGAGTATACATGCGCACGCACACACACACAATGTATACCCAAACCAAGAACATACATCACCACCAAGAGATAGCCACTTAAAACAAAGAGAGCATTGCTCAATTACAAATGCTCAGGCCTCACCTCTAGAAATTTTTATTTAATTGTATTCAATGAGACCCAGGACATAATATTCTCTATATAATTTCCCCAGTGATTCCAATATACAGCTGGGGATGGGAGTCCCTACACTAAAAAGTGAGGTCTGGTACTAACATCTAAAACAGGGCTCTAACAAGTCACTAGGATGATACTGTAGATACCTGTGATAATCCCTAATTCATAGTTAGGATTTTAACAGCAATAAGAGGATGGAATATTCCCTACTAGCAACATTACAGATTTTGAAGTCCACTTAAAAAGTAGTTGCATGGAACCCTCATTCATTGCTGATACTTCTTAGGAAAGTTAGCAGTGACTACTTAAAACTCAACAGACATATCCTATGACCAAGCAGTTCCACACCTGGGTATATACCCAACAGAAATGAGTGCTTTTGTCCACTAAAGAATGTTTAAAAATGTGCATAACAACTTTATTCTTTTTTTTAAAGATTTATTTATTTTTAGAGGGCATGTGAGCAAGGGGAGGGGTAAGGGGAGACTCCACCAAACAGATTCCCCATTGAGCACAGAGCCTGACATAGGCTTGATTTCACAACCTTGAGATCATGACCTGAGCCAAAATCAAGAGTTGGATACTTAACCAACTGAGCCACCCAGGTGCCCCACAACTTTATTCTTAGAGTCAAAACTGAAAATAGTTCAAATATTCATCCACAATAAGATGGATCAAAAATTGTCATACATTTATACAATGGAGTATTACACAGCAATGAAAGAGAAAAACCTACAGTTACATGTTACAACATAAATTAATATTACAAACTTAAAAGTGAGTGAAAGAAGTCAGACAAAAAGGATATACAGGGTGTGATTCCATTTATCTACAGGTTGGCATAAGACAAAACTAATCTATAGTGATAGAGGTCAGAATAATGGAAAGGTGTTGGCAGAGAGTAGGTATAAAGAAGTCTGTAGGGTACAGGAAATGTTCAAGTGGGTGGTATAGACTGGTGCCAAGAGTTCAAATCCAAGTAACATCATCTAGAAACACTTCCTGGAGAGGTTAAGACTTAAATGAGCAAAGAAAAGGAAGAGAGTAGTAGGAATTTCAGACTAGAAGAAAAGCTCCAACAAAGGCACCAAGGCAGGAAATTGCAAGACTTAGCCCAGGGTCAACACAGGAGATGAGCAAGGATTAACATTTAAAAGATAGAACAAGTGTGCCAGGTGGCCCAGTCGGTTAAGAGTCTGACTCTTGATCTCAGCTCTGGTCTTGATCTCAGAGTTGTGAGTTCAAGCCCCATGTTGGGCTCCATGCTGGGCATGGAGACTACTTAAAAAGAGAGAGAGAGAGAGAGAACAGTGGCCTGATCGAGCCTAAAAAAAGCTTAACAATTATCAAATCCAAATTTCTGTTCTTGTAAATGTTATGACCACATTGCAAGGTCACTCGGTCAGTCTATGGCAGGTCTAGAGCTCAGGACCCTAAGGTTTAAGTGATGGCTTTATGTAATAGGGAGTCATTGAGAGTTTCTGAGCAGGGGGCTGAGAAGATCACCACCATGCTTTTAGAAATGTAACCTAACAGTGTGGAGACCCATGAAGAATAAAGACAGGAAAAACAGAGGAATTACAACCAAGTGGTCATCAGGTATTCAGGACATGACTAGAATGAAACAGAAGAGAACAAGGTGTGAAAGGATTAAGCATGGAGCAGAATAATCAGGAGATTCCCTGAATGATGGGATGACCAAGATAGGGATGAGACCATGAAGAGGGTCAAAGGAGTCCTACAGGGGATCTCGTTTTGAGAGGAAATAATGTGCATGCTTAACATACTGCCTAGCATATAGTAGGATTTTAACCAATATTTTTCAAGTGAATAAGTGATGTTTTTAATGTATTTGATTTAAGCTAAATACAGGAAGGGATCTCAGAAAGGAAATATCCAGAGGCAGAAAGAAATATGAGGCTGGAGACTGGGAGAAAAGTCAAGTGGGAGAAAGGTGTTTGGAAATCTCTGCTATAGATATTCTTTTTTTTTTTTTTTTTTGAAGATTTTATTTATTTATTTGACAGAGAGAGACACAGTGAGAGAGGGAAAGCAAGCAGGAGGAGTGGGAGAAGGAGAAGCAGGCTTCCCGCTGAGCAGGGAGCCCGATGTGGGGCTCGATCCCAGGACCCTGGGATCATGACCTGAGCCAAAGGCAGACGCTTAACGACTGAGCCACCTAGGTGCCCCTCTGCTATAGATACTCTATCACAGTGGCAACACATCCCTAACAAGGAAGAGATAGAAAAGAAGAAAAAGGAGGAAGAAGAAGAGAAGGATGAGGGAGGGGAAAATAGAGAAGAGGCAAAGACAATGTCTGGGAAATGCAACAGGAGGAAGCAGAGCAAATAAAGTAACCTGAGAAAGAAGGTCACGAGAACATTCACCTCAGAAAAAGCACTTCATCCTGTTTGAGCGTCACAACAAATCCATGGAGAAGACAAGGCCACTGTCACTATTCTCACTTCGAAGCGAGGAAAGTGGAGCTCGTGGAGGAGCTGAGCGACAGCAATTCCATTCACAGGCTGTGCCATCAGCTGCAGCAGAAAACACCCGGGTCTGGTCTGGACTCAAAGCCAGGTGCAGCACTCTGCCTCTGGGGCCTGTGGGAAGAAGGGAGGACAGTTCATGTCCCACACTACATGGGCTGTTGCTGACGGGGGGTGGGGGGGCCACGTTTCCCCTCCCCAGAGGAAGGCATCTCTGAAACCTGCCATGTTTGAGGCTGGTGCTCCCACTGTGCCTTTGCTGTGGTAAACACCAGTCAGAGCTGACTGTGGGCAGCAACCTAAAGTGGCTGAGGTTTTGCTTCACTGGGTTTCCCTTTCAGAGCTCTTCCCCCCTTTTATTAGTTTCCTAGGGCTGCCATAACAAATTACCACACACTGCTTGAGACATGAGAAATTTATTTTCTCCCAACTCTGGTGACCGGAAGTCCAGAATCAAGGAGTTGGCAGGGCTAGCTCTCTCTGGAGGCTCCAGGAGAGATTCCAACCCGTGCCTCCTACCTTTGATTTGTGGCCACATCACTCTATTCTCTGCGTCTGTGGTCACATGGCCCTTTCTTCCATGTGCTTGTTCTCTTCTGTGTGTCTCTTCTTCGAAGTACACTTGTCATTGGATTTAGGGCCCATCTCAATAATCCAGGATGATCTCACCTCACAATCCTCAACTTAATTACATCAGCAAAGACCTCTTTGCTGAATAAGGTCACAATCACAGCCTCCAGGGATTTGATGAGGATAGCGTGGCGGGATCATTTAGCCCACCACACCCCTCATGCCCCAAACCCTTATCAGTTCTATCTTCTCTAATCCACCAACACCCAGGAATTGCTACTGCTGTTCTCCTGCCACCCATCCCATCCTTCTTCTTATCCTCTCCAAAAAGTCATCCCCTTGGGACCTAGGTTTTAAGGAGCTAATCAAATAAATTGAGGCAGCTTAATAGGAAAGGACCCAAAAAGCTCTTAGTTATGTAATTCTGGAGACAGTCCCCTTTTTTCTGTTATCTAACTGATCATCTCCCAAAGAACATTTTGTGAAACAATAATTCTATATGAGGTTAATAGGTATTAAAAACTGAAAAAAGTGTTTAATGTTCTCATTAGTTTGGGATCTCTAGGTTAAAAAAAAAATTAAACAGGATTCCTTATTTCAAGACTGCTTTATTTGGCAGAAAAGACTATAATCAGCATTTCTGAAACTTAGTTGACCTGAGTCCTTTTGATGTGAACTTCTCACGTGGCTCATGTTCCTTGGAAAATACTTGGCAGAATCTATCCTAACCCAACAGTGACTGTTAACAATCAAACTTTCAAGCCAAAGCAAACAAAACAGACTCCATGAAAGGAGGCTGGAGCCAGGAGGATAGAGGGAAGGAAAGAGGTTGGGTAAGTTCTTGATTGAGGAGGTATTTGGGGACACACATAAAATCTAGCTAGGGGGATGGTCATCTCAAAGAACCAGTACAGTTTACAACTCAAGTGAGCTCTGGAATTTCAGAAATAATCTTGTGTTCTGACACCAGATTCTCAGCATCAAGGGGTGCATACACATATTCCACTCCTGAAGGAGACATATCTCAGACACTTGGGAATTTTTCCATCCACACACATCACTCCCAATGCTCTCCTGCATGCTCATGCATGCACATACCCACATGCCCCCAAAGAGACATGGGATTGGCCCTGGGTGTATCAGTGCATTAAAAAATTTAGATTCATAGATACAAAGCAGCTCCCTTATTTTATAGATGAAAAAAAATTCAGGAATATCAGCTGCCTTGTCCCAGGTCACAAAGCTAATTAATGGCAGAACCAGAACTAGAATCAAATTCAGTGCTCTAACCGTTTAGCCCATTCTCCAAACCCAGAGCAAAGAAGAATCTCTTTTCCTATGGAAGACCAGTGTCCCTTATTTTTTTTAATTAAACATTTAAAAATTAAAGCAATATAAATGAAAACCACTTAATTTAGTTAGGATAAATATAAAACATTACATGAATGCTTTTAAACTTAAAAGTCAATTCAAGAAACATAGTAGGTGATAGCTATGCTTTCATTCTTTATTATGATGTGTTGAGATGAAGAAAAGCGGGGGGGGGGGGGGGGCGGGGAGTAGATAAGGAGTAACAGAGAAAAAAATTCCAAATCTTTTCCAAAGCAGGCTTTTGAAAAATGTCTTGACAAAAAAAAAAAAAAAAAAGGACAACTACTTCCAGAATTTGTTAGGAAAATGGAGTTTGGATTAGAAGCAAAGGCATTCTTGAAACACTTCTCTCATATTAGTGAAAATCTTAATTTACTAGATTAAGTGGGAAATGCAGTCTTTACCTCAGACAAAGGTCATCCTTTAGGATTTACATCCTTAAATTCCAAGAGTATTATTACTGAAAGGATTAAAAGTTTTATTTTTTTATGCAACTGTTTATAAAGGAGACCACCTATCGATGCATGTGCTAGGGACTGATGAAACCAAATCAAAGGCCAAATCTCACCTATAGGCTAGAAAGTTACCTATTCCTGTTTCAAAGCTTGTAAATTACAACTTTTGGAGGGTGAGGGGAAGGATGGCGAGTTGTCTTTCTTCTGCAGTTAGATGGGGGAGGCCTCTTCAACTGAATTTTCCCCCCAGAGAATCATGAGTGTGGTTATAACAGGGTGAGACAAAGGAAAGGCGTAGATAATAGTAGATAATCTAGAATAGCTTTTTCCAAGCTTTATGGCCACAATCCACAGTTCAAAACTATATTTTGTTTTGAAATATATCGAAGTTCCAGAGCTCACTTGAGGTGTAAACTGTACTGGTTCTTTGAGACGACCATCCCCCTAGCTAGACATATAGACAGGTAGGTGGTACTGCAGAACTATAACAAAAGTTCCACGAAATACTGTCTGCTTTTACATTGTTTCCATTCTCTACTATTCTATTTCATTTTTTTGATGCTAACCACATGATACACATTAATATAACAACCACCCTGCTAAATACTTTGGGGAAATATTGCATGTGGAAGAAACTACTGGGTCAGAGATGATCATTAGTGTCTAAGAACTGGAAAGTAACTGCATCTTCTCCAACCATAAACAGGTTAAGAGGAGAAAAGGTTAAATGTACTCTTTGGAACTCTGTCTAATATCAATGGAAAAAAGCACAAGGCATTACAGCTAAAGAATTTATAGCTTGTCAAGGCTAGAGAAAAAGGAAAATGTACCGGTTCAGTTCATTCCTTATTCCCAGGATCAGCAAATTGACTCCAGGATCTGTCAGAGGCCCCCACCTCACTGAAAGTTCTAGCTAGCTACTGGAAATGTAGTTTTGTAAAGAACCAGGTTTAAGACTTGATTTAAAATATTTCTCTAAGGCACCTGGGTGGCTCAGTTGGTTAAGCATCTGCCTTCGGCTCAGGTCATGATCTCTGGGTCCTGGGATCGAGCCCCATGTTGGCCTCCCTGCTCCGCGGGGAGTCGGCTTCTCCCTCTCCCTCTGCCCCTCCCCACCACTCATTCTCTCTCTCTCTCAAATAAATAAATAAAAATATTTCCCTAATCAGAAAACATATCCCGTGAATTACATATCTTATGATTTAAAATAGGCAAAGGATCAACTCACGTCCCTCCTACACTCATGCCTGGCCACCCAGGTAGCCCTGTCAAGAGCTGCCTACATTTTTATTTACCAAATCACATGGTATAACACTTAAGGATGTCAAAGTCATTCTGAGGTCAGACTGACCAGCAGGAGCAGGAAGTCTTTCTGTTAAGGGTGTTTTGTTGTTGCCGAATAACATTCTCAGAATCTACAAAGAGAGTCACAGTATTATCACTATCTAACGCTGTATATATTTGGGGTTTTCAGTCTGTTTCTTCCCACTAAAGTAGAGGCTCCATGAGGACAAAGATACTGTCTGTCTTGTTTATATGTATATCCCCAACACCCCCCAAAATTGCCTCACACACAGTAGATGCATATTCAATAAACCCACACACTGCAGCACTGCTGGTCTGCAAAATAAGGAAAGGTGAGTTATGATAACTAACTCCAGAGTTCCAGAAGAGTTTAGAAACTATCCCTGATCATCACTGCTTCATCCATGCATGTATGCAAGAAGACAGGACCACTGTAAGTAATGAACAGCCTTAGTCAAATTCAGAAACACTCATCTATACACGCCCTGAGGTGGGGTGGGTGTAGGCCTTTTTCCTCTGATAAAATAAATACTTCAAAGAGCCAGAGAAGATCTTTCATTCAGGGCTTTTCGGGCCAATGACAGCTCACTTAGCTATGGATACACAGCATTTTACTCACCCACGTACTTACCCAAAAATCCACGCGACCTGGCCAGACCAGGACAGGCCCACACAGTCACATCATTCTTGGGACTACCTTGGCCACTTACAATCTCCTTTGTCTTAGGTAGCCAGATTAGCGAACAAATCTGTAATAATGGCCAAAAAAAATACAGAGTTATGACAAAGTCTGATTCATTATGAATGTATTTCGAATGGATTCTAGGCAGTATGCTCTGTCCACATCCATCCTCCAGTCCATAGCTGGGGTTAAGGTGTTAGAGGAATTATGTTAGTTCTAGGAAATTTGATCCCAAGACAACAAAAGACTAAGTATACAAATAGGTTTAGGTGCAATGAACCTACAAACGTGAGCACAAAGCAATGCTAAGAAAGAAGGGAAATGTGGGAAATAGAGGGGGAAGGAAAGGACACACAGATCAACTTGCGACTCCCAGAGAAAATTTTACAAAAACCAACTGTCCAGAACTGAAATCCTTATAGACTCAAAAAGTACAGAGAGGTGTGTTTGGGTCCTATGCTCTATCAGCAATCATTTTCACAAGGTTCTAGAAGATCAAAGTGAAGGCAAACTCCCACAGAGATGTTTACCTGTGAGTTTGTGCTTGGGGTCTGGATGCTTTGACCAGTATTTATGTCCAAGACACGTAAATGTCCATCTTCCATTCCGCCTCCAACAGCAAGGACTGCAGACTGCCAGGGACACCAATCCATGGCCTTGAAAGTTCAAATAATCACACAGGCAGCTCAGCCTTGGAGAAAGTGAACTTGTGAAAGTGACATGCTCAGGTAAGCAGGAGTCCAGAGGTCTGCGCACACCCCAGCTCTCCTGGAGCTCTGATCTGAAGGCCGAAGCAATGGCACTCTCTAGAGATTACTTCTAAGGGACTAGAAATCACCTGGTAGGTGCCTTCCTCAAATTTTGAGAACTGCCAGTATATTAAACCAAGAAAAAGCATCCAATAATATGTTTTAAAAAATATACTCAACATGTCCTATAGGCCAAAAATCTGCTGCTGGAGTAGGTGACATGTGCCCACCAGAATCTGGTTCTGAAATGAAGCCTTTCTCTCATTTGTCTACCTGTGTCTTTAGGTTCTAGGTCAGAGAAAAAAGGACAAAATGGAGCCACACATAATTGCTCGCACCCCAAAACTCTCATGCATTTCAACTCCTAATACATTTTTTTAGTAAGGAAAATTGCCTTTGATTCCCTACTTATAAATTACTATAGGTAATCCTGAAAAATAAGATTCAGTATTGCATATTTATACTGATAATTGAAATGATGAGTAACAATAATTTTAAAGGACATTCTAAGAAATATTTCAGTTATATATATATCTGTATATCCTTATCTACATGTCCATCCTGCCATTAGCTGTCCCAAGCCTTGGCTTGCTCAGGCTTCAGAAACTCTTGGTTCAATTCACTGTATTTCTGACAAGGCACATAAGAAAGTAACTTGTTTTGCTTGGCTTGGGTTTTTCATGTGTTGGGTTTTTGTTTTGCTTTATTTTGTTTTTGTATTTTGTTTGCTGACAGAATATTTTACATACATTTTCCCTAGATTTTTCCCAAATCATTAATAATGGGAATTTGGACTTAAAATCATTCTTAATGTCCTGTGGATATTAAAAACCACAAGCCAGAGTACCACTGTGCTTTAGCAGCAGGTGCTACATATTACACCCTATGTCAGGAAACTCCGTGATAACTTTGTAAGTTCTCATTCTAACAAATTTGCTCATAGTTAATAAAGTAGAACCATTTCTTTGCTCTGTGGGTGATAAATATTCTGGGACTATGTTGAGGCCAAGACATATATCTATGACACCAAAGGAATGAGAGTATGGATTTTTTTTTACTAGGAGTAAGAATTTAATATCAGAGAAATAAAAAAATATTATCCAGAAAATGGTAGAATATTGGTTTAACTGTGCAGCACCCTTCCTCCTCCTTCTCACAGTGGGTCTCCTTTCCATGGGTGTGAGCTCATGACCTAGACCTGGACAGCCAGTGAACCCATCTCTCTGACCACAGTTATCTGCTGAGAGATGAGAATGTGCCCAAAGTCACACCAGAGTCCTGCCTGGGACTTTTCTACCAGAGTTACAAGGAGCGTAGTTTCTTAATCAGCTCCCATCAGGGAGAATCTGAATTCGAAGCCGTAAGAGCCACCTTGCCCACAAAATGTTGTCTGAATAAAGAATGAAACCCAACAGAGTCAGGCAGAGCCAAGAGCCAAAGAGAGAGGGTTCTAATGACATTATTTAAGGCCCTAGATCTGGACAGTATTGAAAGCAGCTGTATGTACCCAGGACTCCTCAGTCGTAAGAGGAAATACATTTACTTTTTTGCAGAAGCTCAAGCTTACCTCTGGTTTCAGTTACTTACAACTACAAAATCTGACACATGGGGGTGTATAAATAGGGTTGTCTTTCAAGACAGTGATGGCAAAATCCAAAACAAGTTCTGGGGGAAGAAAATCTCAAAGCATTGCCTTAATGGCTTCGTTCTCATGTGTGAAGGATAGTCAATGATCTCTGAGTGAAGAGCAACTTGGAAAGCTATTGGATGTCTTACCTTGACTGCTGTAGGTTGGGGTATAACTTTCAGCGGTTGAACCTGGGCTTTCGCACCCGGGTCATGGGGCCATATCGTCAGCAGCCCATCACTACAACCACTGGAAAGCAGCCTGCCATCAGGGGACCACTTGAGAGCACAAACAGCTTGCTTGTGGTGAAGTGTTCCAACGTGATGCTGGGCAACCCGAACATCGTGATGAGAAACACGGCCCAGCCTCGACCCGCTGCACAGAGGTAAAGGGGCAGGTTTCCAACAGAAAACTCGAGCCTGGGTTCTAGCAATAGCTTATAAGCATTTGAAAACATGAAGGAAAGCATAGTTCAAACTACCTAAAGACCCCTCAGGACAGATTCAAGACACAGGTTTTGAACATTTGTTGGGTTAATAAGGATAGAGTATCCTGCTTGGTGATTGTTTTCACAAGTGAAAAAATTTTTGTGGCAAAGTTTCAAATGTGGATATTGAGATGATATCCTTTGATAGATATTTATCTTTTTTACGATTTTATTTATTTATTCGAGAGAGAGAGAATGCAAGCAAGTGAGAGCACAAGGTGGGGGGAAGGGGCAGAGGGAGAGGGACAAGCAGACTCCCTGCTAAGCGGAGAGCCCAATGTGGGGCTCGATCCCAGCACCCTGGGATCATGACCTGAGCAGAAGGCAGCCGCTTAACCGACTGAGCCACATTTTGACAGATATTTCTAATGATTTTAATATGATGCAGGCAGCTATGGAAAAGATAAATTTAGAAGATTGCCATATTTCCCCAGGGAGTAGTTTATGTACTGAACCTAGGAAATAGTACTTTTCTGGAATTCAGAATATTTCATATTATCTCAATGCAATGGTTTTAGAATATATATATTTATAGTGAAATGTCAGAGATAGAAACATGTTATTTCCTTTTTCTATTAAACTACAAATCCACTATTAGTTTTGTTAATGTTACTAATATCTAAAAAGAGTAGAAAACTATCTGAATGTCACAGCAAACTGCAATGTGATTCAGAACCAGTAGATAATGTCACTGGTAGTGATTTGGATCCAAAGAATGATAAAGATCCTATCACTTTATCAAAGATAATAAACTCTTTCTGGGCTAATTTAATTTTCTCCAAGGAACAAGTAAACAACTATCTACAATTATTTCTGAAATTTCTCAAAATCTGGTCTCGTATTTTTTAAAACAATTCAGGCACCACACTGAACAGCCTTCTGATGAACAATATGGGCTCTGCAGCCAGACCACCTGGGTTCAAAGCCTGACTCTGCCCGTTTTACTAACCATGTGACCTCAGGCTAGTGTCTCAGTTTATTCATTAAGAATAAGTTGGCAGGAAATTAGAAACCCCTCTACAGCATTACTGAAGGGATTAAAACGCAATTATGCACATAAAGAGTACAGCACAATGCCCAGCACACTTTACTCCAAAAATATTAGCTGCTGTCATAAGAAATGATCTGTTCATTTTCCTCATGGATAATGAAACTAAATTTAAACAATGCAGACTGTAAAAAGAATTCATATAGAGAACTGACCTCACCACAACTTCTCACAGTAAATGATTAGCCCTTTATATGGTATTTTGTTTAAGTGGCTTTAAGTTTGACCTGTAATCACAAGGTATTGAAATCTCAAATTTATATCATAGCTGCTTAAATTATAAAAGACCTTGGAATTTATTTAATTTAAACCTACCTTAAGAACTACAGTATAAAAATGAATGGCGATGGGGCGCCTTGGTGACTCAGTCAGTTAAGCCTCTGCCTTCGGTTCAGGTCATGATGTCAGAGTCCTGGGATCGAGCCCCCCATGGGGAATCCCTGCCCAGCAGGGAGTCTGCTTCTCCCTCTCCCTCTGCTGCTCCCCCTGCTTGTGCTCTCTCTCAAATAAAAAGTAAAATCTTTAAAAAGATAATGAATGGCAATTATTAAAAGCAATATATATTTAGATCAATTATATAGGATCATAGGAAAAAGTCATTTAACTTTTCTGATTAAAAAGAATACACAAGGGCGCCTGGGTGGCTCAGTTGGTTAAGCGACTGCCTTCGGCTCAGATCATGATCCTGGAGTCCCGGGATCGAGTCCCGCATCGGGCTCTCTGCTCGGCAGGGAGTCTGCTTCTCCCTCTGACCCTCCCCCTCTCATGCTCTCTCTCTCTCATTCTCTCTCTCAAATAAATAAATAAAATCTTAAAAAAAAAAAAGAATACACAAACAATGAATCACGGAACACTACATCAAAAGCTAATGATGTAATGAATGGTGACTAACATAATATAATAAAATAAAATTTTTTTTAAAAAGTAGGTAGACTAAATCAGTAGTTCTCAAAAGTGACGAAGCATCAGCATCACTTTGGAAATTAGAAATGCAAATTATCGGCGCCTCTTCAGACCTACTGATTCAGAATTTCCTGGAGACAGACTAGCAATCTGTGTTGTAAGGAGCCCTCAGGTGATGTTGCTGCATGCTCAAGTTTGAGAATCATGGAACCGGCTGATCTATGAGGTTGCTTCTAGCTCTAACATCTATGGATCTATGGGAAATGTGCCCCAGAGAGCTTAACATATTCCAAATTATTGATCCTGATAGCAATAAATACTTGATTCCAACAAAATATCCCTCTGATAGGTATTACTTGGTACAGAGAAACGTTTTGCTTAAACAGATTTTTACCTTTTAGCTGAACAATTTAATGGATCCTGAACCTCGCTTTCCAATACCAGCATATGGCCCAGGCACATAGCCACCATTGTACCTGTGGCCACTGGACCACTGACCTCACCAGAAGATCAGGATATTCAAGAAGGTAGGATCATAACTGCTGCTAACTAATATCCTGTTTGGTTTTGGTTGGTTTTGGTTTTGGTTTTGGTTTTAAATATTATGGGTCTGTTCACTCAGCCCCCATAATCACTCAGTGATACAAATATAATCCATTCCACTAAGATGTTTCTTACCTGCTAAGAATACAGTCATTCCAGCTCAGAGCTGCAACCACTGACAAATGACCAAGCATATTTCTCAGCCGCTTTTTAGTTACCACATCCCATAACTGAAAAAATGAACAAGCAGAGAAATATAGCATTGTCTTTTTCACAGTCCACTGTCTTCTTAAAGGCCTGATAGCAATTAATGTTGCTACCGCCAGTCCTCGTACTAAGGGAAAGCTCAGCTCCTTTAACCCTGGGCAGCATTTCTCAACCCTGTCTGTATATGACATCACCTACGGAGCTTGCTATGGATGCTAGCCATTCTGATTTAATAATGGATACGACATTTATTTTATGACATTTATTTTAAAGCTCTCCAGGTGAATTCAATGGGCAGCCACAGGTTGAGAATGGCTCTCACACGTCTAGTTTCTTCTAAATTGTGGAATTTCATATCTGGAAATCCACTGACAGACTAAAAGACTCCTTTTCTGCCACCTATAAGTGATACTCTGACCCATATGAGAAATGGAACTTTGCTGTAAGAAGAAATCATTGACATAACCTTCATAGCATCCAATATTATTGTAGAGATGAGAAGGCAGTGAAAGCCATCCATGGTCCTCCAAAGTCATTGAACACATGAGCAATATTTTTACAGTTTTGCTATATTGCTGTATTGCTACAGTTTACAGTATTGCTAGTAATAATAACACATGAGAAGTTAAATAGACTGATGGAAACTGGGTAAATTCCCATTTCAGAGAGCCTATCAGAAAAAAAAAATTCACTCATTTTAAGTAACTCTACTCCTGATCAAAGCTTGTGCAGAGAAAGGAGAGCTGAAGGTTATCTTCCTCTCTCCAAAGTCCTAACCCTGGGGATTCTACAAGCCCAACTTTAATACAAGAAAAAAGACTTTTAAGGGCACCTGGCTGGTTCAATCAGAGGAGCATGCGACTCTTGATCTCAGAGTTGTGAGTTCATGCCCCACGTTGGGTGTAGAGATTACTTAAAAAAATAAAATCTTTGAAAAAAAAGACTTTTAAAAAGGTAAATATGACAGAAAGAAAGGTGGTGTGAAAAAAACTAGGTAGGGTATCCTTAAGTCCTCATTAAATGCCATTCAAAAAAGGAACCAGAATGCTATATCCACTCACTCCCCATAGTTTCAAGCACCACAATTAATAGAGATTCTCTATTGTATATTGTTATTAAAGGTCAATTTTAGTTATGTAGCAATTACACAGAGCACATTTTGAGGGGGAAAAAAAAACAACTGTTACTTGTACTTCTCCTTCGCTGGTGCCAACTGCCAGGCAGGTTCCGTCTCTTACCCAGGACACAGAAGATACATAGTTACAATTGAGATTTAGGTCTATGTTTTCAATCACATTGTAGTTTTCCCCATTCCAGACAAACACAGAGGATCCAAGGGCTAGAGCAACAAGATTTTGAAAATTCCAATCCAGAATATTCAGATCTATAAGAAAAGCATTTCATATTAGGGTAATTATTTAGTGAAATAAAAAATTTTCTTTTTTTTTTTTAAAGATTTTATTTATTTATTTGACAGAAAGAGACACAGCGAGAGAGGGAACACAAGCAGGGGGAGTGGGAGAGGGAGAAGCAGGCTCCCCGCAGAGCAGGGAGCCCGATGTGGGACTCGATCCCAGGACCCTGGGATCATGACCTGAGCCGAAGGCAGTCGCTCAACCGACTGAGCCACCCAGGCGCCCAAAAAACATTTTCAAGTAACCAACTTTTTTGCAGATAGATGAGCAAAATTAATACCTTTCCCATGGTAGTTGGAAAATAGAATCACATATGCAAGCAGATCATTAGAAGTTCAAAAATAAAAACTAGAATTCTGTGTTAAGATTCACAGTCTAATGAGCAATAATGCTTACTATTTATGCTCAAATATATTTATTTAGAGTCATTTAGAGAACTTGGAAGTTTAATCTACCATTATTAGTACACATGGATTTTACCTAACTGATCACTAAAAATTAAAAACACATATTTTTGTCATTGAAATTATCTGGTCTTTCTTTTTCTTTTTCTATTTTAATTCCAATATAGTTAACATATAGTGTTATATTAGTTTTAGGTATGGAATATAGTGATTCAACAATTTTACACATTACTCAGTGCTAATAATGATAAGTGTACTCTTAATCACCTGTTTCACCCATCCTACCCACCCACCTCCCGTCAGGCAAGGATCAGTTTGTTCTCCATAGTTAAGAGTCTGTTTTTTGGTTTGTCTCTTCATCATATGGTGTTTGTCTTTCTGTGACTGATGTATTTCACTTAGGTCCATCCTTGTTGTTGTAAATGACAAGATTTCATTCTTTTTTATGGCTGAATAATATTCTTTTTATGGCTGAATAAAATTCAAACATATATATACAGGCATATCGTATGTGTGTATATATATATACATATATATATCACATCTCTTTTTAAGATTTTTTTATTTGAGAGAGAGAGAACGCAAGCATGGGGAGGGTTAGAGGGAGAGGGACAGACTCCCCACCGAGTGTGGAGCCTGGTGTGGGGCTCAATCCCAGGACCCCGAGATCATGACCTGAGCTGAAGTCAGACGCCTAACAACTGAGCCTCCCAGGCACCCCCATACCGCATCTTTTTTATCCATTTATCTATCAGTGGACACTTGAGCTGCTTCCATAATTTGGTTATTGTAAATAATACTGCAGTAAACATAGGGGAAAAGCATAACCCTTACAGAGACATCCTTGAACGCTCAATATCCATATGAAAGATGCCACCATCATTTCAAACCAAAAATACCACCCAACTACAGTATATCTAGAAGAAGTGGTCACTGGCTTCTAAGTGATACTTGGAAGTTCCTAGCAGTGTTCTCCAGCTTCTACTATTAGAACTCTTTGCCAAAAGAATCCATATTTGTATGACCACATACTAAAATGTATCCTATCTTATTTCTTTTTTTTAATTGAGATATAGTTGACATATAACCCTATCTTATTTCTTATAAGACAAAAACTCTTATCCTCATTGATACATATCAATACAAAACTATGAAGCACACCAACTCCACTACAGTTTTCTAAGCCACCGATAATCCACCTCTCCCACCGATGACAACTCTAAACTCCGAACAAATAAAAAACAAACCCCCTCAGAACTGGAAAATAAGCAAAAGCAGTTAAACTAAGTAAAGGAGTCAAAACTAGAAGAAGCAACCTGCCCAGGGGTGAGCTTCTCACTTTTTTTTAATCACAAGGTTTGGCCAGAGGGTGGGCCCCAGTCACGGAACAGCAGCCCTGCTAAAACTCTGATAGAAAGCTCATCATCTTTCTGGTGAGAGGAGCCAGGGAAAGGAGGCTGAGGTGGCCAAAGTGTGTAGAGAAAGTCCTGGAGCGAAGAGAGCTACAGAAAGGCATTCCCTTGTTGTGAAAGTATGAACCCACACACATCTCAGCCCTACCGTGAAATCATGTTAGTACAGGGAAAACTCAAATCAGCTTAGCAAAGGCTTTGAGAACTGAACTGAGATTTGAAGTCCATTTAGGACTCAGACTAGACTCTGATCCGTATATATGAAGGATAGGCCCAAACCAGCATAGTCAAAGCAGAAGGAACTGATCTGAGACTCAAAACACCACCCACAGACACCTGGGTGCCTCAGTTGGTTAAATGTCTACTCGGCTCAGGTCATGATCCCAGGGTCCTGGGATCAAGTCCCGCATCGGGCTCCTTGCTCCTCAGGGAGCCTGCTTCTCCCTCTGCCTGCCGCTCCCCCTGCTTGTGCTCCCTCTCTCTCTCGTTCTCTGACAAATAAATAAATAAAATATTTTAAAAATAAAAATAAAACACCAGCCACAAAAGGCAAGAAAAAACTTAAGGTATAAACGTAACTAAGACAGGGGCGCCTGGGTGGCTCAGTTGGTAAAACATCTGCCTTCAGCTCAGGTCACGATCCCAGGGTCCTGCGATCGAGCCCCACATCAGGCTCCCTCCTCTGCAGAGAGCCTGCTTCTCCCTCTCCCTTTGCCCCTTGAATTGAAAAATAAATGAGCAAAACCTCAGGGACTTTTGGAATAATATCCAAAGATCTCATATGTGTAATTAGATTCAGGTCTTGGAAGCAAGACAGTAAGTCTTCAAATTACCTTAGAGCTCTCACCAGAAACTATGGAGGCCAGAAGTCACTATAATATCTTTAAAATGCTGAAAGAAAAAAATCTAGCAACCCAGAATTCTATATGCAGTAAAAAATATCATAAAATGGAATGTAAGAAGTGTAAGAGAAGTCTTTGCCAACTAACCTGATCTGAAAGATGCTAAGAGAAGCTTTTCAGGCTAAAGAGAAATTAGATGAAAGGGAAATTTGGATCATCAGGAATGAAAGAGAAGAGTGGAACTGGTATATATTTGGGTAAATATGAAGATCATTTTCCCCTCTTTTATCTGAAATACATATATGTATAGTTTTTAGAGTACAATGTATAACAATGGTAGATTTTCAATATATGTAGATGTAAAATATGACAACTGTAGTAACCTAAAAAATGTTGGGGGGTGGTGGCAACATGTGTAATTACAAAATTTGCATCTACCTACCTATTCACCAGTCCCCAGTGTATTCTCTTCATTGCCATTATCATTAATTACCAACATCCTGCCTTTGCTCACATTGTTAACATTGCTGAAAATGCTCTATCTTCTCTCCCCCACCCCTCCATATCCTACTCATTTTTCAAGACCCAGCTCAAGTCTGAATATCTCCACAAACTCTTTTTAGACAAAGATCCAAAGATCACTGAACTACTTATTATATAGCTCCTTTTACCCAACAGCTCATTATTTATATTCTACACTAGCATGTTGGTAGAAGTTCCATGTGAGTTAGTCCTGTCTTCCTAGGGCACCTGGGTGGCTCAGTCGGTTGAGTGTCTGCCTTCGGCTCGGGTCATGATCCTGGAGTCCTGGGATTGAGCCCCACATCGGGCTACCTGCTCTGCAGGAGTCTGTTACTCCCTCTCCCTCTGCTCCTCCCCCTGTTCATGTTCTCTCTCATGCTCGCTCACTCTCTCTCAAATAAATAAATAAAATCTTAAAAAAAAAAAAAAAAAGTCCTGTCTTCCCAGCTAGATTATAAACTAGGCACATAACAAGAAGACCCAATGTGGCTGTTTGACTGATTAGATTTATCCATGTTTAAAATATATGCCTAAGAATAGGCCCCCATTCTCAGAGTTCATTCTAATACAGTAAAAACAAAACAAAACAATGTATATTTCTCATACCCCACCAACACCAACAATACCCATTCCAAACATGAAATTTGCACAGGGAAAAACCAAACTACATTAACCATATTTGAATAGTACAGCTTTGGGACATGAGGCACAAGGGCCACTGGGTTTTTCCAGAAGCAAATTTCAAGTTTATGCCACAGCACAGGATACATTTTGTCACTCCAACTTTTCAATTCATGATCTAAACCATAACTTACAATAGTCATTTCGAAGACCAGTAAGATGAATCTTCACTTCCGGTTGGAGTATGGAATAGTCTCTATCATTGACTCTTTTAAGATGGAAGGATTCATCTCTGACTCCATCTCTGCAGCCTATAAAGAACAAACGGCTCCACATATCTTTATGATCCCAGAAGCATAATATTTATGCAGGTATTAAGACATAACAAAGTGAAAAAGAAAGTAATTGTCATGTTAGAACTGAATTACAAGTTGCAGGAGAAGGGAAGGAAAAAAAGACTTCAGTATTAATTTAAACAAAAATTTTTAAAAAATACTTCATGACATGGGGTGCCTGGTGGCTCAACCGTTAAGCATCTGCCTTCGGCTCAGGTCGTGACCCCAGGGTCCTGGGATCGAGACCCGCATCGGGCTCCCTGCTCCGCGGGAAGCCTGCTTCTCCCTCTCCCTCTGCCCCTCCCCCTGCTTGTGTTCCCTCTCTCGCTGTCTCTCTCTCTGTCAAACAAATAAATAAAATCTTTAAAAATATATATATATATTTCATGACAATTTTTACTAAAAAGCACAAGTGCCAGACCTAAATGTAATATCTTGTGGGAAGCATGCAGAAACACTATATCATACTTTGAATATTTATTCTGTCACTTGAGATTTTAAAATCACAGTAATTTTCGCATATCCATTTGTCTAGCACATCAACAATTACCTGATAGATGTAAGCTCTACTCTGAGTCTTTGTCAGTAAATATCTGTGGATTCATTTCTTTTGGCTCTTTGTCTCACTGTTTCTGTACCAGCGTACACAGAGTTACTTCTGGCTAGTTTTACCCATGACTGTCTGAGGTCAGGGTCCTACCTTGGGTTCAGTTTTAATTCTCATCAAAAGACCCACCTAAGTCTAAACCACAGGCCACCATCGTTTCATCCGTCCAACCACTTGGCTAGTGATCAAACCGAGAATGACATAAATTAATAGGCACTGAGCCCACCCAGGTAATATTTGGTCTCTATGACCACATGCCTTCTGATAAAAGGCCTAAGAGCTTCACGATGCTATACCAAGAAGTAGATCGTTACTCACTGCCTTGGTGTTAGCCACGAAGACCTGCAGTTGTGGGCAAAACTGAAAGGTTACTAGAAACACTCAAGCACCTCCAATAAAGGTTTTTTAAAAAAACAAGTACACACTTCCAGTTACAAAATGGAACTCAACACTCAACCGACTGAGCTACCCAGGTGCCCTGGGAAGTTACAAAAGTCATGGGGATGTAATGTACAGCATGGCAATTATAGTTAATAATACTGGATTGCATATTTGAAAATTACCAAGAGAATAGGTCTTAAGAACAAGAAAAAAAATTCTGTAACTATGAATGGTGATGAATGTTAACTGGACTTACTGTGGTGATCATTTTGCAATATATACAAATATCAAATCATTGTTTTACGCCTGAAGCTAATACCGATGGCCTATGAATAACATGGGTTTGAACTGCATGGGTCCACTTACATGTGGATTTTTTTTATAAATGCCACACAGTACTGTAAATGTATTTTCTCCTCCTTATAATTTTCCTAATAACATTTCCTTTTTTTCTAGCTTACTTTATTGTGAGAATATAGTATGTAATACATATGACATACAAAATATGTGTTAATCAGCTGTTTATATTATTGTTAAGACCTCCAGTCAACAGTAGGCTATGAGCAGTTAAGTTTTGGGGGAGTCAAAGTTATACACAGATTTTCACCCAAGTGAGGGGTTACTTTTCAGAAGCGTGATCTAAGGGGCACCTGGGTGGCTCAGCCGTTAAGCATCTGCCTTCGGCTCCGGTCATGATCCCAGGGTCTTGGGATCAAGCCCCGCATCAGGCTCCCTGCTAATAACCTTTCAGTTTTGCCCTATGGGAAGCCTGTTTCTCCCTCTCCCACTCCCCCTGCTTGTGTTCTCTCTCGCTGTCTCTCTCTGTCAAATAAATAAATAAAATCTTTGGGGTGCCTGGGTGGCTCAGTTGGTTAAGCGACTGCCTTCGGCTCAGGTCATGATCCTGGAGTCCCGGGATCGAGTCCCGCATCAGGCTCTCTGCTCAGCAGGGAGTCTGTTTCTCCCTCTGACCCTCCTCCCTCTCCTGCTCTCTGTCTCTCATTCTCTCTCTCTCAAATAAATAAATAAAATCTTTAAATAAATAAATAAATAAATAAATAAATAAATAAATAAATAAATAAATAAAATCTTTAAAAAAAAAAAAGAAGTGTGATCTAAGTAGACTGAAGGAGGTGAATGAAGCAGGAGAACTAAGTTCCTACCTACTATGCTAGAAAGATATGATAAAGTCTAAAATCTCAAGACAGAGCAGTTTACAAATATTACTTAGAAAATAGATGTATTTTAAAAAAGAAAAGAAAAGAGATGTAAATAGTAGGGGAAGAGCTGGAAGAGGTGGTTGCCTCTAGGAAACAAGACTTGGGGATGGGACAGGTAAGGCAGAGAAGTAGGAAAATTATCAAAATTTTATAATTATGTTGATTAGTCTAATAAATATAAAAATAATACATTCTAATATATTCTAAGGTAAGGAAGAAATGAAGGAAGCAGGGAGAGAGAAGGATAGGAAAGAAGGACAAACAGAAAATCTTTGGCCCATACCTTTCCAGGCACACTGGGATTGCTCACAGAGCTGCATTTGCCCACTAACCCACTGAGACACCTTCCGGGTCGAAAATAGCTGGTTTAGGCATTTCTGAAAACAAGCAAATAAATACTTCTTTAGAAATGTACATGTACAGGGGCGCCTGGGTGGCTCAGTTGGTTAAGCGACTGCCTTCGGCTCAGGTCATGATCCTCGAGTCCCGGGATCGAGTCCTGCATCGGGCTTCCTGCTCGGCAGGGAGCCTGCTTCTCCCTCTGACCCTCCCCCATCTCATGTGCTCTCTCTCATTCTCTCTCTCAAATAAATAAATAAAATCTTTAAAAAAAAAAAAAAGAAATGTACATGTACATCTCAGATGTTATGCATGATATAGTGTTAAAACTGATAATTCACTAGGAAGGTCAAAGTTTCCACATTATCAAACCCAGTGCTACAACTGTTATTATTTACTACCTAACCACTGTGTAGTGAACACAGTGCTGAGCATTTTACTTGTATTATTTCTAATGTCCCCAACAACTCCATAGGGCAGGTATTCCTTAGCTAGAATAAAATCTTCTTTTATTCTTATAGCCTAAAAATCCTTTTAGCCCACAAACCAACTAAAGGCCAGCGATATCATCAAAGCCTGCAAGAACTGAAATGTCATGATAGTTCTAGTACATTGTGAAATTGAAAGACATCCCCAAGATAACAAAGTTGAACATTAGTAAGGCTACTTTTTTAAGGAAGATTTCTTTCAAGAGGAGCCTCTCGGCATTCAACCTAGAGGTGTTCTTTCAGTCTGTACTGAGATTTTCTCTGGAACTTAATTTTCTTCATCTATAGTACGTCAGGTTTGAACTCATCATCTTAAGGGTCCTTTTCCATTTCCCTTTACCTACCAGAAGTGGGAACATCAAAAAATTTTTTAAAAAGTAAAAAAATAAATAATTTAAAATTTTTTTAAGATGGGAACATCAAATCACAGAGATCTTAAGTAACTTGCCTCAGTTTCCATGAACACAAAAATCTGATTGCTGTCTCTTTGGTCTAGTACATAAAAAGCATTTCTGACATTGTTAGACCCAACATCAATCAAAAACAGATAAGAAAATTAGTAGTAAGTGTAAAGAAAAGTACTTACTGGTATAAAAACATTCTAGCGAATAGTTAAAGCAGAGACAATTCCTTTCTTTCTCCATGATAATATATCTAACTGTACATGTAAAACAATCATTGGATCACCATAATTCATACAAAGGTCTCTCTCACAGGCATCATTTCGAGATTTTGGTTTTCTTCCCGGATATTACATCATTGCCAGTCAGTGAATCACGGATTTTTAGGTATTCAACTTATAACAATGAAGTATAAAGCAGGGTTTCTCATTTTTAGCACTACTGGAATTTGGCAGCAGATAATTCATTGTTGTGGGTGTTGTTCTGTGCATTATAGGAGGTTTAGAAGCATCTCAAACTCTATCTACTAGATGCCTTCCCCCTAGCTTGTGATAATCAAAAATGTGTTCAGACATTGTCAAATGTCCCCTGGGGAGCAAAATCACACCCAGTTGAGAGCTACTGATATAAAATAACATTCCTAAAATCAATGTAACTCTTCAGAGAGTCACTTCTTCAGAATCCCATAGTTGGCACAAAGCTGACCAGGGCATTGCCCAGCACAGGGCGCTTCTGTTCCACATACCCAAGGGTGCTCTTGCCTCAGTAAGATCTACTTATTACTTTAATGAACCACTTGGCATAGAGCTGACTATATATAATAATTTTGAACATCTTCACAGCTATGCAGGCCCTCGTCGTAGAAACACCCTCTGTGGGACCTCTGAGGACCACTTGAAGACCCACATTTCCTGTCATTGTGAAAGACCTCACAGCGTATCTGTACCACTCCTGATGCTGTTTGACTTCTAACTGGTCATGACAACAAATGCTTGATATAAAGTAGTGAGATAGTGTCCATTATCCCCTTCCCAGGTTCTTCAGTGACGCTGGGACTCTAAGAAGTCATGAGGTCAAGGCAGTAAAAACTCCAGTCTGTAAGACGTAGAGTGTGGAAAGGCAGTGGTGTTAATAACCTGGCCTGGGCGTAAGGTCAACATGCCCCTAATGACCTAGAACTCCCTGGCCATCTGCACCTCCAGACCCGTAACCAACAGTAAAGCACTTGGCAAAAGACCTGCCCTCAGATCTCAATTATTTGAGATCAATTTGCATATGATCTCAAATAATTAAATTTTATATTCACAATATTGTTCCTCTAGCAAGATATATAGAACACTGGAAGCACATACTAAATGGGTAACTTTGCCCAAGCTGAGAACTTATGACTTTCCTAGTTTAAAGCTTTCTAAATGAAACCTTGATTCCTTCTTCAAAAGGTCTTCATTGGATTTGATAAACCCTTAAAACATGCTAGTGATATTTAATGTACCCAAGGATTTAGATCAGACTCCTCTAAGATCTTAAAACCATAATAAATAAGATACTTAAAGGAACTAAATTAACTTAGTCAAGAAACAAACAAACAAAAAATAACAAAAACTTAAGGGAAATGTTTAAAAGACCATCTTATAGGGGCACCTGGGTGGCTCAGTAGGTTGAGCGTCTGTCTGACTCCTGATTTCGGCTCAGATCATGATCTCAGGGTCCTGGGATGAAGCCCCACCTAGAGCCCTGCCTCGAGCTCCACAGGGCTCTGCGCTCAGCAGGGAGCCTGCTTGGGATTCTGTCTCTTCCTCTCCCTCTGCCCCTCACCCTGCTCACACTTTCTCTGTCTCTCTAAAATAAATAAATAAATATTTTTTTTAAAAAAGACCATCTTATAGAGGAAGAATTTAACTTATCTTGAGAGACCCCAGAGGGCAGACCAAGTCACTAAATAGTTGGAAATGATTATACAAGAAGTTTTTTGGCTGAGGGGAAGCATACCATAATATGTATAATTTCATTATATTTTTAATCCTTACCTTTTTTAAAAAATCTTTATTTTTTAATTCAAATATAGTTAACATACAGTTTTGTTTTGTTTTTTTTTAAAGATTTTATTTATTTATTTGAGAGAGAGAGAACACATGAGAGGGGATAGGGTCAGAGGACGAAGCAGACTCCCTGCCGAGCAGGGAGCGCGATGCGGGACTCGATCCTGGGACTCCAGGATCATGACCTGAGCTGAAGGCAGTCGCTTAACCAACTGAGCCACCCAGGCGCCCTAACATACAGTTTTATAAGAGTTTCGGATGTACAATGTAATGATTCAACAATTCTGTACATTACACAATGCTCTACATTGTGAATTTTCTGGAATTTTCTTTTTATTTTGTTGATGGTTTCCTTCACTATGCAAAAGCTTTTATTTTGATGTAATCCCAGTAATTTGATTTTGCTTTTGTTTCCCTTGCCAGAGGAGACATATCCTTTTTTTATCTTTGAAATAAGAATGCTTTATTTTATTTTATTTTGTTTTATTATGTTATGTTAGTCACCATAGAGTACATCATTAGTTTTGGATGTAGTGTTCCATGATTCATTGTTTGCATATAACACCCAGTGCTCCAGGCAGTACATGCCCTCCTTGATACCCATCACCGGGCTAACCCACCCTCCCACCCCTCTCCCCTCTAAAACCCTGTTTGTTTCTCAGAGTCCATAGTCTCTCATGGTTCATCTCCCCCTCCGATTTTCCCCCCTTCATTTCTCCCTTCCTTCTCTTAATGTCCTCCATGCTATTCCTTATGTTCCACAAATAAGTGAAATCATGATAATTGACTTTCTCTGCTTGACTTATTTCACTTAGCATAATCCCCTCCAGTTCCATCCATGTCGATGCAAATGGTGGGTATTCATCCTTTCTGATGGCTGAGTAATATTCCATTGTATATATGGACCACATCTTCTTTATCCATTCATCTGTCGAAGGGCATCTCGGCTCTTTCCACAGTTTGGCTATTGTGGACATTGCTGCTATGAACATTGCGGTGCATATGGCCCTTCTTTTCACTACATCTGTGTCTTTGGGGTAAATACCCAGTAGTGCAATTGCTGGTCATAGGGTAGCTCTATTTTTAATTTTCTGAGGCACCTCCACACTGTTTTCCAAAGTGGCTGTACCAACTTGCATTCCCACCAACAGTGTAAGAGGGTTCCCCTTTCTCCACAACCTCTCCAACATTTGTTGTTTCTTACCTTGTCAATTTTTGCCATTCTAACTGGTGTAAGGTTAGAACTAACTGGTGTGGTCCAGTGTGGTTTTGATTTGAATTTCCCTGATGGCTAATGATGATGGACTTTTTTTCATGTGTCTGTTAACCATTTGTATGTCTTCTTTTGAGAAGTGTCTGTTCATGTCTTCTGCCCATTTATTGACTTGATTATTTGTTTTTTGGGTGTTGAGTTTGAGAAGTTCTTTATAGATCTTGGAAATCAGCGCTTTGTCTGTAGTGTCATTTGCAAATATCTTCTCCCATTCTGTGGGTTGCTTCTTTGTTTTGTTGACTACTTCCTCTGCTGTGCAGAAGCTTTTTATCTTGATGAAGTCCCAAAAGTTCATTTTCCTTTGTGTTTCCCTTGCCTTTGGGGAAGTGTCTTGAAAGAAGCTGCTGTGGCCGATGTCGAAGAAGTTACTGCCTATGTTCTCCAGTAGGATTTTGATGGATTCCTATCTCACATTGAGGTCTTTCATCCATTTTGAGTTTAACTTTGTGTATGGTGTAAGAGAATGGTCAAGTTTCATTCTTCTGTATATAGCTGTCCAATTTTCCCAGCATCATTTATTGAAGACACTGTCTTTTTTCCATTGCATATTTTTTCCTGCTTTGTCGAAGATTATTTGACCATAGAGTTGAGGGTCCATATCTGGGCTCTCTATTCTGTTCCATTGGTCTGTATGTCTGTTTTTGTGCCAGTACCAGGCTGTCTTGGTGATCACAGCTTTGTAATATAGCTTGAAATCAGGCAACATGATGTCCCCAGCTATGTTTTTTTTTTTCAACATTTCCTTGGTGATTCGGGGTCTTTTCTGATTCCATACAAATTTTAGGATTGTTTGTTCCAGCACTTTGAAAAATGCCATTGGAATTTTGATCAGGATGACATTGAAGGTGTAGATTGCTCTGGGCAGCACAGACATTTTAACAATGTTTATTCTTCCGATCCATGAGCATGGAATGTTTTTCCATCTTTTTGTGTCTTCTTCAATTTCTTTCATGAGTGTTCTGTAGTTTCTATAGTATCCTGCCACATTACTAAATTGCTGTATGAGTTCTAGTAATTTGGGAGTGGAGGCTTTTGGGTTTTCCACATAAAGTATCATGTCATCTGCAAAGAGAGAGAGTTTGACTTCTTCTTTGCCGATTTGGATGCCTTTTGTTTCTTGTTGTTGTCTGATTGCTGTGGCTAGGACTTCTAGTACTATGTTGAACAATAGTGGCGAGAGTGGGCATCCTTGACGTGTTCCTGATCTTAAGGGAAAGGCTCTCAGCTTTTCCCCATTGAGAATGATATTCACTGTGGGTTTTCCATAGGTGGATTTTATGAACTTGAGGAATGTTCCCTCTATCCCTGTACTCTGAAGGGTTTTAATCAGGAAAGAATGCTGTATTTTGTCAAATGCTTTTTCTGCATCAAATGAGAGGACCATATGGTTCTTCTCTCTCAGAGGAGACATATGTTAAAAAAATGTTTCTACAGCTGATGTCAAAGAGATTACTGCCTATGTTTTCTTCTAGGAATTTTATGGTTTCAGAAATCACATTTAATGGGTCTTTAACCCATTTTGTGGTTATTTTGTGTATGGTGTAAGAAAGTGGTCCAGTTTCATTCTTTTGCATGTAGCTGTCCAGTTTTCCCAACACCATTTGTTGAAAAGGCTTCGTTTTTCCCACTGCATATTCTTGCCTCCTTTGTAGTTCCAGACACATTTTAAGATTGTTCTAGTTCTCTGAAAAATGCTATTGATCTTTTGATAGGGGTTGCATTAAATCTGGAAATTGCTTTGGGTAATATTGACATTTTGACAAGATTTATTCTTCCAATCCATGAGCATGGAATATCTTTTTATTTGTTTGTGTCATCTTTAATTTCTTTCATCAGTGTTTTATAGTTTTCAAAATACAGGCCTTTTACTTCCCTGGTTAAGTTTATTCCTAGGTATCTTACTGTTTTTGGTGCAATTGTAAATGGGATTGTTTAATTTCTCTTTCTGATGCTTCATCATTAGTATATAGAAATGCAACAGATTTCTGTATACTTATTTTGTATCCTGCCACTTTACTTAATTCATTTATTATCAGTTCTGTTAGTCTTTTGATGGAGTCTTTAGGGTTTTCTCTATAGAATCATATCATCTGGATCTTTACCTTTTTTCTGTTTCATTTTCACTTTTTTGATTGATACTAACTGAACTTGTATATTTTTTGGGTATTATATTTCTTTTACAAAGTGCCCCTATTCATGTCCTTCACTCACTCATTTTTTTCTGTCAGGAACCCGTCATTTTCTTACTGACTTGTAAGAGCGGCTAAGCCAGTTCCTTCCTCACATTTGGGACTCATTTGTCTGAGCTTCTCAGGACATGAGATCGTCAGTTTTCTCTCTTTACCTACCTGGCCTTTTGAGGCAACGTTTTCATTCCAGCCTCTGCCCAGTGCATGAGCTGCCTTGCAAAAATGGAGAGCAGAGTTACTTGTTTCAAAACTCCTTTTGATGGGTGTCTTCAGTGGTTCTTGGTAGGACCCTGCAAGAAAAACATTTAGCTTTTGTTTTTCAAAATAAGATAATCACTTTGGTTGGTGGTTGACCACTGTGTCTTTCACAATAGAATGTGAAGACATAGGCCCTCATCTCTCCAAAATCCTGGCAGAGGTGGGTAAAAGAGGGAGGGTCAGCACAGGGCCTTATCCAGAACACCAGGATCATAAGTGAGCACTGCCTCAGTGGCCTCTGTAGGAAATGCCAAGATTAAAGACCTGACTCCCACTGCAACAGCAGCAGAAATGCTTTATCTCTGCACAGAAAGAACATATTTGCACATTTGAAGAATAGATACAAACAGTTCCAGAGTTTAAGATGATGGAGCAATGGTGTCTGGTTTGCCCAGGCTATGATCATCCTGCCAGGAAATCATTGTGGGATGCTTGCTTTCCTAATCATTTTGCCTCTCCCTCTTCCTTTTATAGAAAGATGCTGTAAGGATAGTTTGAGATGGCATCAGTGAAATACTTTCTAAGTTAAAGTAATAATAGAGTCAATGTTATTCTCATCATTATTATTCATATCTGTCCTCTTCTCAAGATTGAGAAAGCCCTTTACCAGACTTTTAACTGCACAGAAAACCCTGTCATGTCATCCTCTAAAACTAAGTATCTTATATGTTCATATCACTTGTTCATCAGAGGGGCCAAGGGACCATTGAAAAATCTTATATAATTATAATCTTTACAAAAGGAACCACATACCACTGTGATTCTCAGAAATGCATCTAAAATACAACATACTGTCTTTTGTTTTTGTTTCATTTCCCAACCCACCCCACCCCCACCCCCACATCACCACCTTGGAAATTTCTTATTCAAAGGAAGAAGAAAAGGAAAGCACTTGATGAATGTGATACTAGATAGTTTTACGAGACAAAGATTCTCTCTGGAATATCTGTTTCATTAACAATTTTTAAACAGCCTGTGGAATTTCTACTACCTCACCTAGAATCAGAGTCTCTTTCTCAGGTGTTATCTTCAGCATGGATCCGGAAGCTTCTGGGAGGTAAGTGGTTGAAAGCTCTTCCCCAAAGGAGCAGGCTGCCAGATCCCTGGTTTGGCTTTGCCGCCCTCTGGTGGTAACTGGGCTACTGGCGATGGGAACCTCAGCAGACAACCTCTTCACAAAGTTGCTCTTGAAGCTAGAATATGTAGTCTTAACTTCATCAAATGTCTATTTAACAAGAAAAAAAAGCTGTAATTTATAGTGGCCTCAATGATGTAAAAGTAGGTATTCCTTAAAGGAGAACTATAAACAACTCATCTAGTACAAAACAAATTATAAATCAGATTTTTAGTTTTTGTGACCTGAGAGAATGTTATTTTATATATATAAATATGTGTATGTGTGTGTGTATGTGTGTGTACTTAGAGCCTCTGTTCAAGGGTCTCAAGACGTATAAAGGCAGCTTAGAGAGTAATTATGTTTACAGTTATTACAATTACATATCAATATAAAATATGAAGTTGAAATAACCCTATATATTGAACAGACAAAATGTTTATACAAAATCACAAAATTGCAAATCTGGAAATAAACAGCAATTTTCTAGTCCAAACTTTTCATTTCACAGATGAGCTAACTGAGGTCTAAGTTGCTCAACATTCATCCCATTCCCTCTGAGAAACCCCAGGATTGGTATTTACAGATCCTATAATGGTGACCCAGGTCATGTATCTACATGAAATTAAAATGCAAATGACAAATTGGAAATATATTATATTTTTAATAAGATGTCAGGCATGTTAGATTAATATCTTTGTGTAAAGGACTCAGAAAAATTTAGACAAATTTTCAAACCAAATAGAAAAAAATAGGGCATAGGACCCAAAAAGACAATTCACAAAAGAGATATATAAATACCCCCAAAATATTCAACCTCACTAATAATCAAAGAAATGCTAATTTAAAACAGTAACAAGATGATAGCAGTGATTTTTTTTAAATGACAAGCCCCAGGATTGAAGGTTCTAGAAACAAACACTGACATTGCTGGTGGAGCATAAATTAGTATTCGGAAAAGACAATTTGGTAACGTGTCAAAAGCCTTCAAGTATGTGTATAACCTCTACTGACCCAGAAACGTCACAGCTAAGAATTTAAGGAAGAAATTAAAAAATATGAGCAAAGATGAACAAAACCAAAATATTTTGAGTGCTTACCACAATATGAACCCATATGCTAAATGTTTACACACATTCATATTTAATCGTCAGAAACACCTGTGAAGCAGGTCTGTTATTTATTCCCACTTTACCAATGAAGAAACTGAGGTTTAGAGGTTAAGTGAATTGCTTAACACCACACAGTGAGTCCATTGGAGATGCCATACCCTAATCTCATCTGTCTGACTCCACAGTCCACACTCAGCAGAGAACACGGGGGTGTTACTGCAGTATATATGTTTATAGGGGGAAAAGATGGGAAGGACTCAATATTTACCAATGGAGAATTGAGTAGATAGACTATGTGACATCCTTAAAAGGCAATACTCTGTACATTTGTACATACTCTGAAACTTTGTACATTGTTTATGGGGATGTAAAGTGGTACTACTGTGGAAAACAGTCGGCAATTCCTCAGAAAATTAAGCCTAGAATTACTGTATGATTGAACAATGTCACTGCTAGGTATAGACCCAAGGGAAATGAAAACAGGTACTCAAACTCAAACGCAGGTACATGCATGTTCATGGTAGTATTATTCACAATAGCCAGAAGGTAGAGATAACACAAATGACCATCAGCAAAGAAATGGACAAGCCAATTGTGTTTATGTATGTACATATACATGTTATACATAATATAATTATTTATTTATTCATGAATGACATCTCAGCTAAGAAAAATGATCAAGAAATTTCACACCAACAATCTTACACTGTCTCAGCAGGTGCATGTTTCTCTGGTTCATCTCCTGTCACATCCTCTATACTGTCTCCTCACCTGGGTGCTCTTCCCCAATTCTCTGCCAGGGTAACTTCTAGCCCACCTTCACAGCTGGGATCAGCCATCACGTCAGGAAGGTGTCTCTGACCTTCCCTTCCTCCCCGTTCCAAACTGGGTTAGGCAGTCCATGATATCCAAATAATTGCAATGGTTAATTCTATGTGTCAACTTGACTGGACTAAGGGCTGCCCAGAGAGCTGGTAAAACATTGTTTCTGGGTGTGGCTGGGAGGGTGTTTCTAGTGGAGATGAGCATTTGATTCAGTAGGCTGAGTAAAGAGATCCACCCTCACCACTGTGGGTGGGCTTCATCAAATCCACTGGAGGCCCAAATGGCACAAAAAGGCAAAGGAAGGGCATATTTTCTCTCTTCCTGAACTAGGACATCCATTTTCTCCTGCCCTCATACATCAGAGCTCCTGGTTTGTCAGACCTTCGTACTCCTTGATTTACACCAGCTGCTCCCCAGGCCTCAGGATTTTGGACTCAGATTGAATTAAACCACCAGCTTTCCTGTTCTCCAGCTTATAGCCTGCAGACTGTGGGACTTTTCAGCCTCCATAACCTCATGTATATATATTTACTTATATTCTATTGTTTTCTTTCCTCTAGAGAATCCTAATGCAAGAATGATTATTTTTCATTGCACGTGAGAGAGAGCTGATATGCAGTGAAAACGACTGGCAGTATTAGATACTCACCACCAAAATATGAATCAATAGCATAATGAGATGACTTTTTTTTAAGCATTACAATTTTAGGTCTCATTACGGGAAAAACAATGTCCAAAACAAGAGCGAGGGAAACCCAGTTGTCTCTGTGCTGGTCAGAACCCATCTGGAGAACTGTGTCCAGGCTTGGACCTGTCCTGTAAGGTGAGCCAGCCAGGATTCTAAACCTGAGTTCATTTAGAGGAAAGGGACTGCAGTGATTCGAGGTCAGGGAACACAGCAATGGAGCAAGACATGAACGGAGTGAGGGCACCGAGGGTATTTAATCTAGAGGAAATAAGACCCATAAGGAACTGTCTTCAAATATTTAAAGGAAGCCAATGTATGAAACAAAGAAATATTCACTTTGTATTGCTCTCTAGGACAAGACTGGGCGCTTCAAGCAGCAGGGTCAGAGAATTTAAGTCCAGGTGTCATATAAAGTTTGACTTTTTTAGTAATTCAGCCAGAGAGCACCCAACTAATACTATCATAGTTAAGAGGTGATACAATGGGTTTTGTGTACACTTTGGTTCTTTACCAGAAATTATGTGTACAGGAAGAGACTTTTCTATTGTATCCATCCTTACCAGCCTCCAAGAGAGTGGGAATGACATGGCTTATCAGTCTCTGACAGGTCGTACATGGCTAAGCCGTGGGTTCAGCTCATCTACCCCCAAGAGCACACACCACAGACGCAGGGCCCAGAAGCTGAGCTGTAGCTTCCTGAGCACATCCTCTAAAGTGCTAAAGATCTAATCCTGAAGGGAAAGGGCACACCCACAGTTTTTCAGATCCTTCCGTGCACTTTTTCCTAGCATTTTCTCTAATCACACCACGACCCCAAAATTCAGGCCAAATAGAATGAAGCACCTGCATTTGAAACTTGCTGTGTGTCTTAGGGAAGAGGCTAAGGTGACCCAAGGACTGCAGCCCTTAATTTCCCGTCCATTCATACCCCTGAAATTTTCAACAGTGAAGTTAGGCCTCCTATAAGAGGCGACAGCCGCGGGAAAAACAAAGACAAAAAAAAAAAAAAAAAAAGGAGAAAAAGAAGAAGAAATAACTAGATGAAGCACCCAAGGAGAGGTGGGTTTGGGGGATTTCCTTGTTTGTTTTTGCTTTCTTGGTAGAATTGTCTAATTTAATTGTTAAATTCCTGATTTATTATAGAGTTCAGTTTTTTTTTCTGTCTACAGGTTGCAGCCCATTAAATCATTGTCATGGGTCAGAACCAGGCTGTTTTAAAACTACCATAGGCGTGGGCGCCTGGGTGGCTCAGTTGGTTAAGCGATTGCCTTCGGCTCAGGTCATGATCCTGGAGTCCCGGGATCGAGTCCCGCATCGGGCTCCCTGCTCGGCAGGGGGTCTGCTTCTCCCTCTGACCCTCCCCCCTCTCATGTGCTCTTTCTCTCTCTCAAATAAATAAATAAAATCTTTAAAAAAAAAAAAAAACTACCATAGGCGTATCAACAGTCAAAGGGGAAGTATTGTTTAATGAAACTTCTCAGTTATGTATGTCTGCGTACTGAGTTAAATTGTAAAGTGCATTTCTTACTGGGGGTCATGATCAAAAATTTGAAAAACACTGGACTATAGTTTGCTTTACCATAGAGGAGGGGTTTTTTTAAGCCTTCATTGTGTTTGATCTGTTTATTTTTGCTATATTCACCTGGCACTGCCTTAATTAGATGAAGTCAGCACAAGCAGCCCCTTCACATATTTCTCCGCCGTTTCCACTGTAAATTCCTAGAACTCATGTAGCAAGTTTAATGCGTACGTATAACATTCAATTCCTTCAGGCTATATACATCGTATTAATAGACCACATTTAATCTACCCTCTGAACTATTCCTCAGTGGTGCTTACCCACTCCCCTACATTTAACCAGTTACTGGGAGGGCTCAATCCACAGCTTGTGCCCTACAAGGGCACCATCTTCTGGTGAAATATTTTGTCAGGAGAATGTTAAAGAACTATCAAAAAAGTCCTGATTTTTCTAGCAAAGATTGCAATGGGCATCATAAATACATTGATATTCTTTAGCACTCTTTATTTTATCCAGGAGTTTCACTCCTTTCCCCATCTGAGAAGGGTCTTTCTATTCCTTAGCAGGGAAAGAAGCTAGTCTGTCCTTCTTGGTTTTCCGTTAAACTGAGCCAGTGTCAAGTTTCAGCTCCTCCTCAAATTCCAGCCTGCTGAGACTTCCCTCTAGAATCATCCAAAATGGAGCCTCTTACAGCGTACCCTTTAAGATGTTCAGGGTCGAAAGCAAAGGTATTTGCAGTTTTACTGTCTATGGTTCTATGCACAGTAATGCTATTTCTTCTACAACTAAAATTCCTAAAACCTAAAATCAACAGCTTTTATACCTTTGAAGTGAAAGATGCAAAAGGAAGAACAGTTTCTCTGGAAAAGTTTAAAGGCAAAGTAAGTTGCATCTTCTGATTTTTTTTTCTATTGTTTGTTCATGTTCTCTGTTTAATGGACTCAATTTTTCATTGTTAAAGGGTCGTAAGTTATAATTTAGTCTTCAAAGTAATGTTATTAGTGTATCTCGCCATCAGAGTTCTCATAGTGTATCTGCTTCTAATTGACAAACTCTGACTGTCCTGTCTTCAGAGGCGTGCTGAATTAATACTTTAAGTTGTTTAGGAAATTCTTAGTTAGTAATGGGAATATGGAGACATTAAGAAATACTAATTCCATAATCTAGCAACATTAAAAAGCACTTATCGATGTTCTTATCATCTTTTATTTAAAAACAAACTGTTGTATCTGATGCTTTTTTTTAATGGTGGTGATCTTTCAGAGTCTTAATTCACGCGTCCAGGTTATGATTTTCAGTAAAATTGGGTAGGTCTAAAAATATGAAATAACTATCTGCTTCAAAATGGTTTAGGATTTTAACTACTTGCAGAATTCTTTTTTAATCTTTTCTTTGCTTCACTTTCCGGTTGGATTTTTTTTTTCTTTTTCCGGGAGGTTGCGCTAGTTGTAAACGTGGCTAGTGACTGCCAACTCACAGACAGAAATTACTTAGCACTGCAGGAACTGCACAAAGAGTTTGGACCATTTCACTTCAGCGTCTTGGCCTTTCCATGCAATCAGTTCGGAGAATCGGAGCCCCGCCCAAGCAAGGAAGTAGTATCTTTTGCAAGAAATAACTACGGAGTGACATTCCCCATCTTCCACAAGATTAAGATCCTAGGATCTGAAGCAGACCCTGCATTTAGATTTCTTGTTGGTAAATATCTACCTTGCCTCGCCAATTTAATGTTTTTAATTGCTTTTCATGTTTAAAACAAAGAGACCAGGACCATAGTCTTCTATTTCATTTGAAATGTCTTAGTGGGAAAGCTTGATAAAACTATCAAAGAGCCAGAATCTCATCTCTTGTAATTTTCTAGAAGTTATGCTTCCCTGAAATCAATGTTTTAACTTCTTGAATGGCAAAATGAGTCTACTCCAATGTATTTTATTCCTTGTGATCATTTTCCTGAAGAATTTACTTGAAGTGTGGTCACGGCTATCTTCACAAAATAGCTTCACAAAATAGCTCTTGGGGAAATGTCCCTCTCCATTACTAAAGCTATCCATGTCTCATGAATATTGCTAGGCATTATCAGTTAGACAGATCTTTGTGGTTAATTTTATGTTGCCTTACTTGTCTGAGATATTATCTTCAAGGATGAATGATATCTTGGTTTACCAGGCTTTTGCTAAAATTCAAAACAGAATATAAGGATTTTTTTGGAGGAGGGTGATATTAGGCTATTTCTAAAATTAGGCTAGCTACAGAAATCTGTTTAAAGATTTTCCAGGAGGGCACGCCTGGATGGCTCAGTCAGTTAAGCTGCTGCCTTCGGCTCAGGTCATGATCCCAGGATCCTGGGATCGAGCCCCTGCGCCAAGCTCCCTGCTCAGCGAGAGCCTTTTCCCTCTCCCTCTGCCTGCCGCTCTGCCTACTTGTGCTCTCTCTCTCTCTCTGTCTTTCTGTCAGATAAATAAAATCTTTAAAAAAAATAAAATATTTTCCAGGGCCGGTTAGCATAACTGTAGTGAGATATAGTGACTAAGGGCATAGGTTTTAGCTCCAGTCTCTGGCTTCAAACCCCTGCTCTGTTGCTTTTGCTGTGTGGCTTCAGGTACGTGACTTAACTCCTCTGTGCCTTCCTCATTTGTGAAATGAGACTATCAATAGTACCTACTTCCTAAGATTGTTTGGAGGATTAAGTGTATTAATAGTAAAAGTAAAGTATTTATACGCTGCTTACACCATGCCAAACACTATTCTAAAAGATATTCAGCTAATGTCCTCTCATCTGACTTATGCAGATGATATCCTCAGTCCTATTTTCAAAGATAATTTGAGTTTGGATAAAACTATGGCCCTCAGTCAGACAATCAAGCTTCCAGTCCAGTAAGTCGGCTAATGATGTTCTATAAAATTTAAGTGTGAAATCGGAATCTTTTAAAAACATTATATTTAGTTTCTAGGGAAAATTAATATAATGCTTAATACCCTGCATAGCAACCAGAGTGATGTCTTCATTCCTTTTATTTCCAGGATACACTGAGGAAAGAAAAGCCAGAGCACATGTCCTTGTAATCATTTTCAATTCTAGCAGCCAAGTATATGGGCATCATAGCTCCTAAGTTCTTCCCCTTTATCACTAAAAAAAGCTCCTGAAACTCCACCTACCCCATGTAATCAAAAAAAGTCACAGTGATTTAAGGTGGCACTGAAGTTAGGTGAAGCTCCAGAGACAAAGACTCTGAGATCAGGGCACCTGGGTGGCTCAGTCGTTAAGACGCCTGCCTTCGGCTCAGGTCATGATCCCAGGCTCCTGGGATCGAGCCCCACATCGGGCTCCCTGCTCGGCGGGAAGCCTGCTTCTCCCTCTCCCACTCCCTCTGCTTGTGTTCCCTCTCTCACTGTGTCTCTCTCTGTCAAATAAATAAAATCTTTTAAAAACGGGGGGGGGGGGGGAACAACTTTTCAAAATGATTTTAAGATGGCTTTAATGTAGTAGTATGATGCTCACACTGAGTCACTGATGTTTGCTCTAATCAGAAATATTTTTCTCTAATAATGAAATAAATTTAACTGCTTGGCATGGTGCACAAAGTAAAACACATTTAAGTAATCAGGCTACCTTTTATTTCTTATTTTTAACCTATGCTCTCTCGTTGGCTCTTTTTCTCAGCACAAAGCAAAGTATTGCACACCTTAAATCTCTAGGCAGTGTGTTCCTTCTACCTACTTAATCACTATTTCTGAAAGAATAGTTAACACTTGTTATCTGTTTCCCTGTCTCAGTTCCCTTCTTAGATCACTGCGTCTGGCTTCTTGCCAGGATCTCCTGAACCTCACAGGTTACCAGTGACATTGCCACTCTGGCCCCCTCTTTCTTCCTTTCAGGTTCCTCCTTTCCATCAACCCTTAACTCGCTGATCCTCAGGATCCTGCCACAATCCACTGGCGCTCTTCTTATTCTATCCCCTTTCCTTGAGTGAGTTCTCTCTCCTCAGCTCCAAAGCCATATATTCAGCGGCCTCCTCTGACTGGATGTCCCACTTACACCTGAATCCCCTCCTATACAAAAACGAATTTGTCATCATCCTCCTAAAATCTGTTTGCTTGTCCACAGGAGTAGGAAGGTCTGTGTATCAGTCCTGGTCCTACCGCTCACTAGCCGTGAGACCTCGAGTCTAGGACTCCATTTTTCTCAACTACAAAATGGGGTTAATAATAATACCCACCTCACAGGGTTGCTGTAAAGATTAAATGAAAGGATCCATTTAGAGCAATGAGCACAGATTACTAGGTACATAGTAGACAAGTTATTTATATTTTTTTCTCATGTTAGTCAATAATGCACATCAATTCTGGATAGTGTAAGTGGAAAAAAAATCTACATTTCTTACATAAATTAAGATGTATCAAAAGGACAGCATAATTTCTCAAAGTAATATGATTTAACATTATATGTTAACTGAAATTAAATAAACACTTAAAAAATATGATAAAGAATTCCTTTCCATTTTTGTCTACATAACATGTAACAATATTAAAACCATAGATAACATTTAATATGAAAAGAATTCCATACATGCCATTACCAAGGACCATTAGAACATCATTTTATCTTTTAAAATGTTAGGAAACAAAGTTTTGAGTGAAAAGGTAAATTTTTTGTTGTTTAGATCAAAGATCCAAAATGAACCCTTTGTTTCGTGATTCCCGATCAGTAGAATCATCAGTGAAGTCACCAAATATACAGAAATATGGTTACTCAAAGCTTGAGTTTTGCTTTGTTTGGGTGTTTTGTTTTTTGTTTTGTTTTTGACATTCCTAGAATTTGATTCTAAAGTTGTCACACAGATACTAATAGAAATGACTATCTTAGCAAAAGAATAAAATTACGCTCATGAAAATATATTCTGGTATTTTAGATTCTTCAAAGAAGGAACCGAGGTGGAATTTCTGGAAGTATCTGGTCAACCCTGAGGGCCAAGTTGTGAAGTCCTGGAGGCCAGAGGAACCCATTGAAGTCATCAGGCCTGAGATAGCAGCTCTGATTAGACAAATGATCATAAGAAAGAAAGAGGACCTGTGAACATGGCAGTGAGTCATTCAGATGCAGTAGTCCGAATATAGACATGTCCGGTGGGGCGTGGGGGCGGGGGAGGGTGTCTCATCTTAAAGACTCTGACAATTAAATGTGGCCCTGAAGGATGGGGTGTTTTGTTTTTAGGATACGTTGCCAGTGAGTGGTAATGAATGTCCCCAGGTCAGAGATGTTACCTAAAGCAAAAATAAAGAGTAGCTAAAGAATCAAAATACAATATATTAAATATTTCATCTGACCACACTAAGTAATTCAGAATACAGAGTCACCAATGTGCTTTAATATCCTGTTGTTCACCTTAACATTTTCCAGGATTGTACTTGATGGAAATGCCAACACACTAGACCACTGTTTGAATTCAAGACACTGTATATGACTGAAATTTTGGGAGTAACTAACTATAAATGGCTATTTTTATGTAATAAAATACAAAATAAACATTGAAAAATGTGAAATAGAGAGATTCAAATCCCTATATACTTCTGTTTCATGTACAGGATTTTGTTTCTTTAGGTTTTTTTGGTTTTGTTTTTTTTAAGTACAGGTTCATAGTATGTTTTATTATATCTGCCCAAATAGTCACTGATAAATGACACTATCCTAACATTTGAAAAAGCCTTCATCACTTTCAGTATTTCTCTATTATTTTCCAGAAGCAACTCAAATTTCATAAATAGAATATTAGTAGTTGAAATACAGTCTTTATTTCTGAATGAAAATCCTAAGTGTAAGAAAAAGGGAGTGTTTGGTGATTTAGCTCAAGTCTTGATATATTAATTTTGGTTGCTCATATAGTCAGGCTAGACGAGCCATGTGGAAAGAATTCCATGCCACATCATTCTGATAGCTGAAATAGTAAGAATCAACTCAGACTCATCAAAGGTCTGAATGTAAACGGGGGCGGTTTGCAGTCACACCAGCCTTAAACATCAGCAGTCACTGAACCCTTCGATAGAGTCACAACATGCTCTTTCTCCCGAAGTCATAACCTTTATGTTTTGTCAGTCTTGTAATTATTGGCTAACAAAGCAACCTGCCAATTTGGTGAAGGCTAATTATTGCCCCACGAAATAGATATTCATTTCATGAAGTCAAGAGGAAGACTAGGGCAAAAGAAAAAAAAAGGGAAAAGGCAATCCTGTAAAATTTGGCTAAGAAGGAAGACCCAATCTCAAAAGCCATGAGTTGGCTGCCAAATTCTGACCTGATTAATGCAAGTGAGGATGGTTTTATATGGTGAAATCAGTAATGCCACCTCATATGTAGTTCTGTGTAAGTGTTTAAAGTTCTTGGACAAAGCAGAAAAATTTCCCCGAACACCTTCTCTTTCAAAGTATATGTCCAACCACCCACAGTTGGGGGTACAGTTTCTATTAGAGGTCAAGAAGATTTACAAGGATAGCTTCAAGAGTGGCAGGTGACTGTGTCAGCAAACCTGCTTGTACCCCTCACCAGCCGTATGACTTTGGGCAAGTCACTTGACTACTTTTAGATTTGCTCACCCATAAATTGAGGTCGGACTGAACAAAGAGCCCCTTCCAGCTCTATGAGTCAAGGACCATGCTTAGCAAGGTGTCTTCAGTGATCAGGAACAGAATCAGTACCCATCTGAATTGTTTTTGAATAGAAGCCCCCGCACAAGCCTATCTGTCCTTTGCAATTTTGCCCCAAGAGCACAGAAGCAGTTTGAATTCTGAGCCTCTAAGCAAACTTTTGTTCAGGGCAAACTCTCCAAGTGTTGCTCCCAGAGCACTCTTGCCATATACCCCCACTTAGGACAAGTGCCGCAGGCCTGCTACAGAGTTTTATGTGCTCACATTAGGGGTATGAGCGGAAGTGTATACGGCAGCCCTACACAGGCCACGCAGACTCCCCACTGTCAGTTGGTGATGGAGCTGCATGGGGACCGACCAGCACTGTCCTGGTGAATGCAGTTGAGATGTCCCTCCTGCCCAAAGTCACTAGTCCTCCAAAGCCATATAAAGTGGGTTCTCGGTTATAGATCTCCAATCCTGGTCGCTTTATTCAACCTACAGTCTCCACTACGGTCAGTGCTTGATTCTCTCCCCTTGGCCTTTGGGTATGCAGGGAAGGCAGCTGGGGATTGGAAAGTGTGTGTCCAAGATTCTGTCACAACTAGGCTCTCTGTGCTAAAAGAGGGTATGGAGCCATTTGCTGATGTCCTGCTGCCCGTAACTCCAATGTCTTATGTGAATTCCACCAGGTATGCACATACAGAGGAAAAAATTGTAGCTTTCTTGAATTGAACATATCTTCCCTGTCTTGGCATCCAAAAGCCTGAGACATGGACTGCTGTGTCAGCTGAGGAGTATGACAGAAAGTAGCTGGCATCACTGTCACATCGGAGGGCATTCAGTTGCCCTTATGATGAAGGGACAAAATCAAATGCACTTCAGTGTGGTAATTCATTGGCTTGAAGTTTGGTTTATCCAGAACGTGGGAAGGAGTCCTTCATTCTAACTCCTAATCTTCATCTCATGGCACATATAGCCGCAGTGTTGGAGACTGGAATAAATATGAATTTGCCTGAGATACACCCTGAGAGTCAGACTTCATTTTTGAAAATGCTTGATAATTATAGCGCATCCATAATATGCATATGATTCCTAGTAATTATGGTATATATGGCATCTACCCAGAGGTGGCTGATAAATAACCATCACCTCTCTGGAGGAGGGGTCCCAATTTGCAGCACTTGCCAATTTCCATGGTATAAATGCTCCCACATGGCCAACTTCCATCTACCAATGGTTTAATATCTGGCATGCCGAATTTCGGAAAATCTAACAATCAGTTCTCACAAACCACTATAAGTGGGCTCCAGGACACCAAAATTCTTAAAAATCAGACTTGATTAGGTTACCATAAGGATCCCCAAAGAGAAAAAATCTAGAGTGAAAACTTACTGTATATTATTTATTTTTATTATAAATATACTGTTTAGGTAGGTTATATGAAAATGTGGATGTACAGTTACTGAAATATGCTAACAATATGCTATATAATCACAGTAAAATATAATGACTTAACTGGATTGTCTACAGGTAACCTCAAGTAGGAAAATACTAGAGTAAAAAGAAAGAAATGTAGACAAAGCCTCAGAAGAAAAACAAAAACTGTTTTTTGTGTGTTTCAACACACTAACTGTTTCAGAAGGTGACCTTAACAAGCTTAAAAGTCCTCAGTGGTCCCTGTATAAAATACTGTGTTCATTCATGGTGTTTCTTTGAAAGAAAAATGGTATGTCTGCGTGTAAACAATATGGGGACACTTGGTCCATGTTTATTCCTTACCTGGATTTCATCTTTCCCATGGAATAATAAAATTCTAATTTAACTGTCACACCTAGAAACTAACACACCACACTGTTCCCCACTCTTCTCTTCCTTCCTCTTGCTGATCTGTTAACACTTGGGGGGAATGAATGAAGAGTAGCTTTGAAGTCCCAAGTGTGGATCTCTCTCTTTCCCTCTTACTCCTATGGAAACACTGATCTTAATTTCTCTTTATTGCATTCCATTCTTTCCCTCCTTTCTCATCATCTCAATAATATGGAAAGGAAGAAGAGCTTTAAATATGTATTGTTTATTGAGTATAAATGTTGGCATTTTATGTCTTGTTCTTTAATTTAAAAAAATTAAAATACAAAGGCCAAGCCTTCTAAATTAAGTAGGTTTTATTTTTATCAACATGTCAGAGACTTTCCATAAAAAATAACACATTGAAATTTAACCTTTTAAGAAAAAAACAAGATGAAAACAGTATCTACACGGAAGGGATCCTTAAACAAAAAAATTCTGGAAATAGAATGATAATGGGCAACAGTGAAAAGAGAATGAGACATGAAAGTAGCAAAATGCATAAAGAACCGAATTATAGGCATCTATCTCCCATGGTTTAAATGTTTAAACTTAAATAAGGTAAGAATAAAAATTGTTATATCAATAATTTATAGTTCAGTACAGTAAACGGTAATATATTTCTCACATCTCACTTAGAATATAACTAATGGGCCACACCACCAAAGTCAGTTCCATGAACCTGCTGCAAATGTCCACATGAGGACATGTATGTCACTGTACGTCTGGGACCCAGCACGTACCTGACACTGTTGCATGGACCAAAATGGCCTCCAAAGGAATCAGAATACATTTAAAAGCATATTGTACAGTCAATTCTTCCCACTTCACACGCTAAATCTCATGCTGTCCTCCAAATATTTTATGAGTCTGTGACTTCACAGAAAATGAAGTGAATAATTGAGGCAAATCCTCCAAATGATTCAACCCCATCCCCACCCCCAAAAGTTCCAATTTTCTTGATATTGCAAGTGAAAATGTTTGAGTTGACTGTCTCATCTTGAAAGTTACCTCAATTCTCCTTTCAGCTGGTACATACACATGGTTATAGAGACCTGCTCTAATGTCATATTAAGAAACTGATTAGAGAGAATACTAAAGATTTAGTTGAAAACTTAGAGAAACATTTTAAGCTTTCCATTTCACATTGTCATTGTATCCTAAATTTTGTATTAAAAATAAATATATAATTTCACAAATACTTTCATACTGTGTACCCAGGCCTCCAAAAACATTAGCTGGGAAATTTTTTAAGAATTAATTGTATTGGTTTCTTCACCATTTATAAAGCTGTGTATTGTATTATTATTGAGTAACAGAATAGCAATTACAAATATTACGGTAACTAGTGCCCTGGTTCATAGCAAAAAATAAACACATGCATGCACACACACACACACACACACTAACTACAGAACTAATTATACGCTGATGTCCATTGTATATGCAATAAGATAGCAGTTGTATGTTAGCTGATGCCATTCATACATTCAACCAGCTAACAATACACTGCCAACCCATCACACACAGGTAACTAGTGCAGCTTGTTAATGAGAAGAATTTATCCAGAAGCAAGTGGCAGGGTAGTTGTGGCTGCCAAATTGACCCAAAGCAGCCAGCTAACAATACACTGCCTACCTGACTCAGGTCACTGCAGCTTGTAATGGCTCGTGACGTCACTGAAGCTACATTTGCAGTGTGAAACAGTGGCAGAACTGTAATCTTAATAGTCACATAAAAGAAAACTTTAAACAAAACTTGTTCCTCCAAAACTGTCATAAAATATAAAAACATTATTTTTAAATCTCCTCAAAAACTTAAAAAGGGGGCGCCTGGGTGGCTTAGTTGGTTAAGCGACTGCCTTCGGCTCAGGTCATGATCCTGGAGTCCCGGAATCGAGTCCCGCATCAGGCTCCCTGCTCGGCAGGGAGTCTGCTTCTCCCTCTGACCCTCCTCCCTCTCATGCTCTCTGTCTCTCATTCTCTCTCTCTAAAATAAATAAATAAAATCTTTAAAAAAAAAAAAACTTAAAAAGGAAAACTTTCAGAATACTTGCACTTAGCTATTTTAAAGTAAATGCTTGGATATCAAAATATGGTATCACGGTATATGCGAATTAACAAAAGTTACACTTAACTGTAGCTTTTCCAATTACTTCTATTTACTGATCCAAAGACCAGTTGTCTGTATTAGACAGCAAAATATTTAGGAGTAGTCATGGCAATACATAAGCTGGGCAAAAAACAAAACTGCTGCTATTTTGGAGGGGAAAAATCAATATTAAAGTATTTAGGGAGTTTAAGGACTTAAAATTGTCACTCATTGTCTCCCACTATAAATAACATTAGTCATTGCATTCCGAAAGGGCCATTCTGTGTTTATTGTGTCACCACTGAAATATTGAAAAATTTAAAGAAGATTAAGAAAAAATATTGATGGGTTTGAAAATAGAATCCATGAGTAAAGTCTAAAGGAATAAGAACAATTTCGAGAGAGAGGGCAAGGTGAAGGGTGATTATGAGAGATTTAAAGCATATGAGGGCTGTTTATGTGGGAAAAAAGAAAAACTCATCTAGATTTGTTTTCTCTTTACACTGATTACAAGAGTAGCTCTGGCCTTTGGCTTCAGACTTTCAAGGAGAAAAAGTACTACATTGGATCAACTTCAAACTGCTAACCGAAAGGACAGACCATCGATTATGCCACTTCTCCTATTGTCCACAAGATGGCACCATTTCCATTTCTTTTTGGGGGGGTGGGGCAAGCTTTTAAATGTAACAGTGGCAAATGCAACCAGCCACTGTTAAAATAAAATTCTAACAGCCAGCTAGCAATGCACTGCCTACCTGACACATCCATGCTTCATCCTTTTCTGTTGAGGCCAAAACTAGAAAGCACCAGTGATATACAAATTATTACCATTGTCAGGGATCTTCAATTTCTTACAGAAATGGGGGGTGAGGGGAGTGTATAGTTAGACTCTGTAGTTAATGATATCTTAAGAGATTGATTTTTTTAATTTTCATATCCTCATACCAGGCCATACTTCCAACAAATACCTTCTTTAGGAAGAATTATCTTGTTCAAGATCAGAATTAAGAGAACTAAAGCAAGCACCAGACGCTCACCCTGGGAGAACCTGGACTTCTCTTCTGCTTCAGGTCTTTGGCGAGCACCCGCATGACATTCTCCTTCGAAAATATAAAAAACATATGGAGAGAAAAACTATTTTTATTTTTATTTTTTTAAGATTTTTTAAATTTATTTATTTGACAGAAAGAGACACATCGAGAGAGGGAACACAAGCAGGGGGAGTGGGAGAGGGAGAAGCAGGCCTCCTGCGGAGGAGGGAGCCTGATGTGGGATTCGATCCCAGGGCCCTGGGATCATGACCTGAACCAAAGGCAGCCGCTTAACGACTGAGCCACCCAGGCGCCCCGAGAAAAACTATTTTTAAAAATCATAATGTTACGTGGAATGTTTCTAGGTCCTCAGCTTGTCCAACTGCATTTACTCTTTTTCTTTAGCAAGCAGGCACCTCCAGAATACAACTAAATTACACATCTCAAAATGCAGCATCAGGGTTTAGAGTTTTGTGCTACATCTTGGTCCTAGCGCCTTCGACGAGAAACCCCTGGGAAACAAAAGGACGTCACTCACCCACATCATCTCTTCTTCTGTCCGGACCCTCCTCCGGGCGGTGCGCTCCAGTTTCCACTCCATCTCCGGAGGACTTCCCGCTACCTGGAGATTGGCCTCCCCTCGATCGGCTCTGGTTTTCCCCTCAGGTCTAAGCCGATCTTGACGCCTAATCGTCAAACCTCTAGAGTCTCACCCCGCCCCCCCCCACCATCATTTTTCACCCTTAACTTCCATTTCCCCCATTCCTCCCACTGCCCCTAGACGGCATTCCCCAGGGTACTGTTTAAAAAGCCGGCGGGGCGGCATCCGGAGCGGGAATCCCCCAGTCCCGCTTCTCATTGGCCAGCGCTGCGGTGACGTCAGAGGCCGGGAGGGATTCCCCCCAGCGCGCCCGGCCGCCCGCCTCCACCTCCCGGCTGGCCTCCCCGCCCCGCCGCCCCCTGCTCTTTGTCCGCGGAGGCGCGCACAGAAGCGCCAAGCTTTGCCGCGAGCAGTGGCGGGCCGGATCTGGGCCAGGCGCCGAGGGCTGTCGCACCAGCAAGAGATGAGAGGGTTGGCGGGCGAAGAAGCGGGTTCTGTGAGTTCACGTTTTTTCCATTTTCAAGGCGGGGGGAGGGGGGAAGCTTCGTTCGTTATAACGGGGCCTACTCTCCATTGGTAATGTTCACCGTTTGTGTAAACCACTGATTTTAGACGTGTTCCCCCAATGTGTTCATCAGCTCTTGCTCCATTTTTCAAATAGGCAGGAAAACGTGGCCAGATTTCTGTGCTAATGAGAAGGGGGAGCGATCACATTGATTCAGTAAGTTCCTCTCCGCTGTAGCCATTTGAAAGTGGTCAGGTTCTCCCGCTTGAGCTTCCGAGCTATCTTCCCCAACAAGAGGTTAGTGAGCGAGATGAAAGAGTCAGTGAGCGCTGGTGACAGGGAGCACCTCAGGAGGAGTGCAGAGCCAGCAGGAAAGCTGAGCAGACTGGGGGCTAAGTCATAAAGGAGAGGATGATATTGGGGGTTAAGGGAGGGAGTTAAAGGGAAATGACAAGGAGCCAGATGGGCTGTTCAGCCTTAGCAGCCCCACCTGAGCTGCCACGGGAGGCTGGCTGTGCCATATGGCAGGAGGGCAAACTCTCTGGGAAACCTCTGAAAGACTGGCAACCAGCTTTTCCCTCCCAGTAACCTCCTCCCTCCCTTCCCCCATTTGACACTGGATTGTTTTTGCTTTAATGCAACATGTGGGTTTGGGCATTTTCCTGGTGAAAGAATTCGTAGACATCAGATACTCAAAAGGGTCAATGATTTAAAAAAAAAAAAAAAAAAACTAACTAACTAAACTCACTCTCCTGTTTCCTTCTTACTGAAAGCAAAGAAAATTGACATCAAGGCTGAGACCCAATCTTGAACCAGTTTTCCATCTGCAGTGATAAAGGTTAGGGAAAATGCTGCACAGGGTAACAAATGAGATTTATCAAAATGCTTGATAGCCAAAAAACCCATGGATTGAAAGATCTGTAAGTTTTGGGGCGCCTGGGTGGCTCAGTCGTTAAGCGTCTGCCTTCAGCTCAGGTCATGATCCCAGGGTTCTGGGATCGAGCCCCGCATCGAGCCCCGCATCGAGCCCCGCATCGAGCTCCCTGCTCGGCGGGAAGCCTGCTTCTCCCTCTCCCACTCCCCCTGCTTGTGTTCCCTCTCTTGCTGTCTTTCTCTGTCAGATAAATAAATAAAATCTTTAAAAAAAAAAAAAAGAAAGAAAGAAAGATCTGTAAGTTTCACCCACAAGAATTTTACCTTCCTTGTAGTGCATTCAATTTCCAGTAAATCCTTTCAGCAAACATTGAGGCTAAATAACGTGAAATATTGGCTGAGAGTCAAATGTATTGTTAATTTAAAGATCAATTTTGCAAATGCCAGCTAAAATTAGCAGCATATTGGAAATAATATGGAAGACTTTTTGTTCTACTTCTAAGTATCATTTTACATGTGCCATTTATGAGAATGGGCACAAACACAGAAGTAATAAAAACCAATTCAATTAATGAACTTGGAAACCCATGTAAACTGTGATTTTAGAATTCATCTCCCTACAAGTACTAAGAATAGGTGAAATACTCTTTTCGAATTTAATTATCTGTAATACACTCATAAATTCCGTTTTAGCTGCTAATTCCATAGCATATCACACCGCCTCCAAATGCCTTTTTTTCCCTAGGTTAAAACAGAAAAGTGAAAGCCAACTATTGTCTTTTTAAAAGTTATTGTGCATTTAAATATCCATATTGAAATTTAACAGGAATGAAGGAAATAGAAAAATCACCATTGGCAAACGGTTGCAGTCAAGGATCATGAATAGTAAAACTGGTGTACATATGATGAGGGTGTTTGCCTCCTATGATCCAATACAAAAAGGAAAATCACAACTTTTCATTGGACAAACCTGGCAGCCACCACCTCAACCAAGTAATAAATTAACCTCACCATTAATGACATATTGACATCCTGTGCCTCCTGATATGATGCACTGGGAAGGGCACAACATAAATTCTGTGATATCTTTGCCAAAAAACCAAACAAAAAACTGCATAACCTGAATTTAATAATGAGAAAGTGCTAAACAAACCAAATTAAAGGACATTCACAAAAATAAATGGCCAGTAGTACTCTTCAAAAGTGTCATCATGACAAAGAAAAACAGAGAAACTATCACAGATCAGAAGTATATATCTAAACATGACAAATGCATTGTGAGATCCTGGATTGAATCCTGGACCAGGGTGGGGGAAAAGGAGATTTGTTGGATAATTGTAGATACTTGAATATTATCTATAGATTAGTTAACAGAGTAGTAGTAATGCGGGGGTATAGCTCAGGGGTAGAGCATTTGACTGCAGAGTAGTAGTAATGCTTATTTCATACTTATAATCATTGTGCTATAGTTGTATTCAGTGTTAACATCTCGGGAAGCTGTATGAAGGACATAATGGAATTATTTGTACCATTTTTGTACCATTTTTCTAAGTCAAATTATGTCAAAATAAAACTTAAAAATGAAAAACATATATTAACTAAATATCATGTGGTCATATGAATAGAAACATTATGGCACAACTGTTTGGGACGAAATAGAAATATCCTGTAAACATTTTATCTTAGTTTTTATCAAATACGGTTTAGGAATAATGTTAATGTGTAGGTTTATGTGCCTGTGAGTAATTTACTATCTTCAAAATGTTTCCTCTTTGTGAGCGGGTTTTGCAGGCAGATCTGTGATAAGGACAAGGGCTGTGAGGAAGAGCCCTCCGCCCAGGCCAAGGCCAATTCGACGGATTTGCTGTAAGGTGAGGGGGACGAGAGGAGAAGCAGGGAGAAGGGAGAACAGGCGAACGTGAGAACACTTTTCTTGATTCCTGTCTTGACGGTGCTCTGAGAGTCTGAGCAGGTCCCTACGGATGGGAAGCGAGAGGTATCCAAGCCTCCCAAATGCAGATTTTTTTTCAGTTACATGATCACTTTTTCTGAATAATAATGTTACGTATCTCAAAAATACACCATGTACAGGGCGCCTGGGTGGCTCAGATGGTTAAGCGTCTGCCTTCGGCTCGGGTCATGATCCCAGCGTCCTGGGATCGAGTCCCGCATCGGGCTCCCTGCTCCTTGGGAGCCTGCTTCTCCCTCTGCCTCTCTCTCTGTCTCTCATGAATAAATAAATAAAATCTTAAAAAAAAAAAAATACGCCATGTACAAAGTCAGCTCCCTTCATCCGCCCTCCCAGCTTACTCCTTTCCCCAGAGCATCGTCAGACCATTTCCAATGCATTTACATAGTGTGTCCTCAGAGTTGGGCGCTGTGGATCTTCCTACGTAAATGCGATCTCGCTGCACTTAGCGTTTTGCAACTTGCTTTTTCTCCTTCACCGCATTCAGTTGCAAGCCGGAGAGCTTCCGCATCCCCCCGCCAACTGTCGGTTCTCACGCGGCTCGGAGCGCAGCGTCTCCCGTGGGCTCGCGCCCCCGCCTGGCGCGCACCGGCCCGCCCCGGGCTCGCGCCCCACCGCCCGCGCCCGCCGCCCTGGCTCCGGCGCCCGCCTGCTGGACGAAAGGGACCGTTGCTGTGCGCTGTAACCGCCCCTGGCGCACGTGCCCGCCGGGCAGGAGCTGGGAAAGCGCCGCTCCTGGCGGGGCCGATACGGCTCCAGCCCACGTGCGGCGGGGAAGACCGGGTGCAGAAGAGATCTCGGGGTATCGGCTGTGGGAGAGTCGGGACGTTAGCCCCGAAGTTTGGGGAAAGAAAGGGAAGGAGACCATTGTGTTCTGGACTGATGAACTGTCTGAGCATGTCTGCCCCCCAGAATATATAGCTCAAAATAGCTCATGGGAAGGAATGGATGAATTCCTTATAATTCAGACTATCAGCAGGACTCGAAAGACAACTTGTAAAGGTTCTAGCAAGTAAAAGCCTCAATCGGAAGAGTAGTCAATAAAACACCACCTCACCTCCGGTTACATTGACTTGTTATAAGTAGTTTATGTACATGCATATTTTTCCATTACTACCTGGTTTCTAAATACAGGGTCTGTCTTTTAAAATATATTTCTTTAAAATATATTTCTCTTAGGGGCGCCTGGGTGGCTCAGTCGTTAGGCGTCTGCCTTCGGCTCAGGTCATGATCCCAGGGTCCTGGGATCGAGCCCCATATCGGGCTCCCTGCTCGTTGGGAAGCCTGCTTGTCCCTCTCCCACTCCCCCTGCTTGTGTTCCCTCTCTCGCTGTGTCTCTCTCTCTCTGTGTCAAATAAATAAATAAAATCTTTAAAAAAAAATGTTTTAAAATATATTTCTCTTAAAAAAATTTTAAAAATAACATATTTCTCCATCCATTTTACCCAAGATGAAGGGTAAAATTTGCCCAGCTTAAAGCATGAAATCAGAAGATCACTTCACCTTCAACTATTTAGCTGCTTTAATGCATTTTTCCCTTCTCTTGCTGCTTAGGGTAGCTCTTGCACAGGATGCTAAGATACTTCCCCACGATTTTAAGGAATGTAAGGAAAATATCAAACTGAAATCATTACAAATCTGTATAAAACCATGGATGAAGTCAGGCATATGAACATGGTGCCCCCTCAAAGAAATAAAGGCTCATGAATGTTTGGAAATCCTTTTACTAGATATCTTTCTTACCAGCACTTCAAACACAACACAATCCAAAACAGAATTGAGAATCTTTCCTTATTCCTATTCTCCCCAAACCATGTTTTCACCCTATTCCCAATATCCCCGTCTCCCTGGTGGAACAGGGTCAAAGTCTTCCTCCTTTAAGACTTTCTCTTCCCATAAGCCCAAACCCAGATATCAGTGACAGTCATTTTCACCTCTGCACATCTGCCCTCTTCTTGAACTATTTCAGTAACCTAATTGATAATCCAATATCTAGTCTATTCCCCTTGAATCCATTCATTTAACATGTTTATTTGCACAGAGCAAGTTCCATGCACCATGTAAAGCAGTGAAGATCCAGTAATAAAGCTGTAAAAGGCTATGTGCAGTATCGTTAGCTGATTGTATTTCTGCCTGCTCAAATCCCTGCAAGGATCTTCCTTACACACAGAATTAAGTTCCAAACTTTCTAGCTCACATACAAGACTTCTACAGTTTAACTTCTACCTTTCTTGCATCATCTGCCACAATACCACCAGTATCTTCTGTTCCCCATAATGTGGATGATGCCCAGCACTCTCCTGCCCTCAGGCTACCTCACTTTTTGTTGTTTGTTTGTTTGTTTTTAAGGAATCTCTACACCCAATGTGGGGCTCATGCTCTAACAACTGAGCCCAGAGAGGTACCCCCCCACAGGCTACCTCACTTTTGAGGATATTTTTCCTGTCTTCTAGCAATCTTACCCTTGAAATTTCAGTTCCCTGTTCCAAAACCCTTCTCAAATCTCCCGAATTGTAATTTTTTCTTTTCTCTATGTTCCCATAACATTTTGTTTGTATCTTTAGTCAGCTTAATTCTAGATTTTATATTTGTGTTAAGTATATTGGAAGCTCCAAGAATATAAGGATCTTGTCTTTTTCATCTCTGTGTCCTCCAGAGAACGGCTCAGTGCTTTACACATTTATGCTTTTAGCTTTATACATAGTTCATATTTGATATCTGAGATTAGGACCTTTCCCAAATCATGGAACTAGGATTATAGAGTCACAAAAGAAAGACCTTAATATGGCTGTCCTTAGAAGGTGAAATACCCAATTGTAAGAAAATTATGAGTAAAAGAATGTAGTGGAAAGTGAAGGTGATTGGAGTAGAGTAGATCTGGGTCTTCCTAGGCTGCCATTTGCTAATTGTTTAACTTGAAACGTGTTATTTCATCCCTTTAAGTCTCCTGTAAAATATGATAATTAGTATCTTCTATACTGATTTATGATGAGGATCAAGAGAGATAATATAAAACCCTTAAAGTATAAATTATTTCCTTTGAGATGAAGTGATGGCACTTAGATGACTAATTTAAGAGTATTTGGATAATAAATATGTCTCTATAAAGCACTTGTCCAGAGGCTAGCATCCTTAGGTCCAGAGCCCATACACAGTAGGCGCCTGACACATAGTAGGTGTTCAAGAAAGATTACATAAGTGAACAAATTCTAAACTTCAATCCAGTTCTCTAAATAGTAACACACTAAATCAAGGGGAATCCATATAGCTACTCTAGTTTGATGGTTATGTCACTAGAGAATACACATTTAAATGTGTTCCAATTCTGCTCACCAAGCAACTTCTTGATTTATGACTTAAGCTTAAGTCCAGAAAGTCTTACCCCTGAAATGGAAGTGATCCTACTCTAGACAGTTATATATATATATATATATATATATATATATATATACATACACACACAATATATCTGTATATATTGTATATGTCTATAATATATATCTATAATATATCTATATTATATATAGATATATAATCTACAATTGTAAATGAATTGAATTATTGTTTATTCCCCAGATTTGAGCTTGGTAAGTCAGTACCACATAATTGCTATGACTTGAGGATAGTTCTAGAGAAGTGGAATAGAACTGGAGTGGTGAATTCCACTCTGCCATTCATTTACCATGTGATTTTGCCAAGTTACTCCTTCCCACAAATAGTCTGATTGCAAAATGAGGAGAGAGTAGCCTGAGGGAATGCTAACATATTTCTCACCTCTGCATCATACAGTTCACAAATTGCCCACCAAAGTGACCTCCACTTGGTACCCCCCAACTGGGAAACTCTGCCTGAAATCAGAGCCATTCATCCCATCACCATCACAGCCATCCTGAAGCCCCCTGGAACAGTTCCCACCAGTACATGAGAAGTTAGCTTTCTAGAGCTGAACATAAAAGGAAGCAGAATACCACCAAAGGGCAGTTTGGAGCCTTAAGCCCTAAAACCAGGGCTTCTTTTTATAAAGGCAGAGGGTGAAGAGTTGGAGGGGCAGTTTAGATAAACCCATGCAAAAAGTTGACTAATTTAAAAATCAGGGGGTACCTGGGT